ATTTCAGGTGATTCTTGAGTACCAAGTTTTCGTAAAAGTTATTTTGTACGTTCCTGGGAGCTTGTGGAAATGAATGGGAGGAGTAGTGTCCTAGTGAGGTCCGTAGCAGTAGGTACATTGCCTCCAGTTAAACACTGAGAAACAGAGGTCCTGACCTGCCCCAGTGATTTGTTTCAAGTGACTGAACTAGAAAAGAAATACAGCTCCCAGGTGCTTTGGCAACTTCAAATCCATTTAAGTTTACTCATCCAGTTTATCAGCTATAATTTTTTGTTAACTTTCTCACACTGTTCCCCTGTAAGGAAAACATTCATTAAAACTGTAGGATGGAGATTTGTTTTGTACTTAGTGTAATATGTTTGGTATGTCCTGCATTCAGCTGACAGTGCCAAGTGAAGCACGCTGCCTTAGTAAAACTAAAGCCTGTCAAGCTTCTGTCATCTGGGTAATAGTTCATTACCTCTGATACCCACGTTTTGAGGGATTTAATTTTGGGTGTTTGTGGACAAATCATATGATGTGGTTGCAGATGTCTAGTTTCAGACCTTTGAGAAAGGTGAAGCAAGTTGTTTTGTACTGCTGTCCTCATATGTACTGCTGTATTCCTGTAAGCGCCAGAAAGTCAATTTTGATTCTAGATGTTTTAAACTCTAATTGAGAGTCCACAGTAGCTTGTGCTAGTGTCATGTAGTCTTGAGACAGTACCTGTCTGCTTATGAGACAAAGAGTAAATAACAATGGTCAGTGTTATGTACTCTTATAAACAGACTCACTGTTTCAAAGGTGTTTATAAATCAAAGAGAACAATAGCTATGAGCTGCATCTTCTAAAGAACCTGTCTTTAGGAATCTGATCGTGCTGGATTTAGAGATCCTCGTGCCTTTTGTGTCTATACCATAGACAGTGGGGCTTTATAACCCAAGTCCTGTGATTTGAGCCCACCTCAAAACAGAAGTTAAGCTGAGGTACAAATACAGCCTTTCTCCACTGGCATACCTGATTGAGTTTAAGGGCATAGTCAAGGTATCAGCTGTCTTTCTGCATATGCAATTTAAAAATTCCTATTGCCTATTTTTTCCCTTCTCCATACAGTATTTGCCTAGAGCAGTAGTTTCCTTTCCTTGAATTGCATGTGATTATTAGGGCTGAGCAGTTTTATTTGCTGACAAAATACCCTTGCAATGACCTACAGACTTGAAAATAATTACAGAAGAAACTTCAGGCCTGCCACTTAGATCCTCATTTTGTATTTTGCTCTCAGTAACCCAGTGCAGTCTTTTCAGTACAATGTATTGATGGTATCCTCATCTAAAAACAATGCTAATTTGTTATCTCATTTTATTTTTAGCTTCCTTTTTTAATAGATTCAAGATAAACATAGAAAAATGAATGAAATCTGTTTATTTCTGTCCATCCTTTGTAAATTCATAGCTGGAAAGCTCCCTGCACTGTATTGCTTTTATGCCAGCCCAGAAAGTAACTGTTTTGCATAGCAGTTCTATGTTTGTAGAGGCAGTCATGAAACAGAAAATATGCATCATAAGCAGAGGTTAAAGCTTTCATACATGTGCTGCACTATCGGAAGGGATATGCAGTAATCTGAACACCAGTCCTGTTTTACACCAGTATTTAACCAACACGGCTGTATCAATGTTGCTGCATCAATGCAAAACTCCCCAAAGTAGATGACCCTTCAGTTGTTTTGCTGCTTTGACAAATTGTCTGTGGTGGTGTATAGTTATTGAAAGACAGCAAGTTCCAGCATGGTTTGGTGCTAACACAAGGCTTGTACTGCTTTGTGGCAGCCTTTAGCAGAAGAATGATACAGGGTGGACAGGTGGGGGCAGTAATATCTTAAAGTACTGCAGCCAAATCGGTGAGAACCTGTTTGTTTAAAACCTTTGTTTGAACTTGAATTCGAAAGAGAAAGCATCCACAGCCTGTCATGATGATAAAGATTGCATAGCAGTTGGAAACAAAAGACTTTTGAGATGAATGCAACGGAATTTGGGCAGCTCCAATTGAGCTGCTCTGAATTTATTCTAATACTGTCCAAGAGAGGCTTTTGCTCTCAGCATTTTGTCTTAGTTGATAAAAGAGTACCTGCTTGCAGCCTTCAAGAGTAAGAACTGTAGTAACCTAAATATATGGCATTTCAGAAAGATGGAATATTGTACACAATGAAAGAAAAGCATACGAAGGACCTTACCATGTCTTAAAAGTTTAACACAACCTTTCAGACTGCAGTTTCTTTAAACAGCAAAAATGTTATTTGTTTAAAAATACCCTCAAAGAAACAACAACAAAAACACCCTAAAACTGAGACATGAAAATGAGACATGATTTAACTTAATTATAAGCCTTGAACAAGGAAACGGCATGTTCTCAGAATACTTGGTTACAGCATTGTTCTCAGGATTTTTTTGTGTGTGTGAGTTGTGAATCTTAAGGAGAAAAATAAAAGGCTAAGAAAACACGGAAGAACAGTAAACATCTTGAAACACAGTTTCCTTCTTACTGAGAAGCTACCACATGACTTGCTGGAAAAAGCTTGTTAAAAAAAAAAAAAAAAAAAAAAGGAAAAAAAACCAGCCTACAGTCACACTTCGGTAGCGTTAAAACTCAATTCTCTGTAAATCTGCTTCTTGAGAAATAATATCCTTGGTGGTCTCTCAAGCAGCACGACTGTGTTTAAGTGTTTTTGATGTCATATGAGTGAATTTAAGGTAAATGCACTGTATTATGTGATAGTCCCAAAAGCTGGTTTGCATTTCTCATTGATAGGTGAAGGCAGGAACAGAATGTACAGTCAGTGTGCAGTGGCTTTATAGTCTGAACTTTTACAAGACATTTATTTTTACTGAATTCTGCAACTTGTTAAGCCAGCTGAGGTACTCAATTTTCCATGACAATAGACTTTTTTTTTTTTGCTAATCTTACTAAAAGATGACTAGGAGCTGATCTGAAATAGGAACTGGTTTTCAATTAGTCGGTATCATATGAATATGAATTCCTCGGTCTTAAAAATTCATGCACAGTAACCACTTTCATATTTAGATTCCTGCACAGACTCTCTTGTCAAATAGAGCAGGCCCCAAACATTCCTGTTTGAAGGTGGGAGGAGAGTTTTTCAGTGACAAAAACAAGCATCAGCTGTTCTTCAGACCAGTATTTCATAGTATTTCTTAGAACTATGCCCTTCTACTCTGAAAAAAATCACCTGTGATTTTATCATATATGTAGATGTATGGGAGGGCTGGTGTTTTTCTCTTAGCTTGTAATGAAGGCCGTTGACCCAGAAAGATATTCTTCTAAACCTCCTAAAGACTTATGTGAAAGCCAGAAGCTAAACCAAATGAACAAACCAACAAAACTCTGGTTATTCCTATTCTTGTCTGTGATCACTCTTATATTCTCTGCTACATGCCAAATGCAGCAGCCTGTTCTCATGTGTCAGCCACACGTTAGTCTCATGTGACTTGGTCTATGTATGTATGATGTTGAAATAATTAACCTTTTAGCATCCCAAAATGCTTTATGTGTTTATTCCTCTAATTTTACAGTCTGTGATTATAGACATTAAGGAAACATGAGGATGGAAGCGGGAAAACAGATCAGAAAAAAAGCCCTTGCAGTTAGTTGAGGTTTCTTGGAATGGCTGGTTACATTTTCTATGCAGAATCACACGTAGGCACCTCCGCGTATAATTTTGCTTTCTTTGGATGTACACTGACTTCTGTTTTAAAGAGGAAAAAATGATACAGTAACAGAAAGATGTGGTGCTAGTGGTAGCATTACTACTTTACAGCAATTTGTGTGGTTTTCTGTTTTTAAACATATTTCACCTTCTCACTTGAGTGTTAGCAAAGTGCCTGCCTGTCTGATTCTCAAGAGGCCGGTAAGTTGAGTAAAAATGTTCAAACCAAACTGTGGCCTATGTTGGGCTTACATCAGTAGGTTTCTGGGACAAATAATCAACTGTATTTTAAGAACAACAAAAAACGAAAGCCTGGAATTCTATAAGCAGTAATGTGGAGTCACAGAGTGGCTGCTGAAAGGAGCGCTTTTGATTTTACGTTGAGCTTTGTGAGAATAAGATTATTTGCACCTGAGGAAAAGCAGAACAGTCTGCTTGCAGGTGAGCAGACCCAAAGGAAAATGAGCACGACACAACCACCAGCAGGTACCACCAGGTGTGGTGATTGGAGTGTAAGAGCCACCAGAGTCTATTTTATACATGCTGAAGGGGGACCTGGGTGGGGAGGTGGCACAGGAGAAGTGTGACAGTGCAATAATCGGACATTGCAGAGCTGATCCAAGGCCCCTAAGGTTTTAGAGAGGATATTCTAGATGCTTCTTTGGAATTCTCACTTCTGCTCCATCGGCAGCTTTTACAATCAAAACTTGCAGCAGCTGTGCTAAGCTGAGCTTTATGAGGAAGCAGAGTACCCTTTTAGGAGGGTGACATTCGTTCTGATTTTATATCCCTCTGTCATTTTATAGACAAAAGAGGGAGAAAAGTCGTACGAATGTCACCGCGAAACGCGGCCGAGCTGCCCCGCATCCGCCGCGCTGCCTCCCGCCATCTTTGCCCCCCCAACGCCGCCCGCCGGGCGGCCCCGAGCAGCCGTTAACGGTCGGGGAGAGGAGGCGCGCGGCCGTCCCGCCCCCACTGCCAACGGCCGGTGACGGTCTGAAGCGCCACCTCAGCGCTTCTGAAGCCGTGAGGCGGGCGGCACCTTCTGTCGTGCTCCGGCCTCCCGCGGCGGCCATGGACCGCGCCGCCATGCTGTTGTCGCCGCTGCTGCTGCTGATGGCGGCGGGGGGGGCGGGCGCGGGCGGCCCCGAGGTGCACAGCCTGCGTGGTAGCTGGCGGCTGGGCAACGGGAACGGCTCACTGTCGCTCCGAGGGGAGGTGCCGGGTTGCGTGCATACCGCCCTGCACCGCCGGGGCCTCATCCAGGTACGGCCGCGTGCGGCGGGCAGAGGTCGGCGGGGTGCGGCGGCGTCTGAGGAGACTCCTCGGTGCCTGCCGTGGTGGATCCCGGCGCCCACCCTAAACGCACCATCCCCCCTCGGAGCTGCATCTGGCGCTGCAGATCATGCTTGTACAGCAGTGCTCCTCTAGTGGCAAAAGCCTTGGTGCCTGCAGCACACAGCGTGTCAGGTGGGTCACCACCACAGAGCAGTTTGAAACGGGACCAAGGGTGAGCATAAGGAAACTCGTGCTTTACTTGCATGAGTTTCTCTAGATTTGACACCGAACCAAGCTGCAGACACCGGAGAGGTACATCAGCGTCGCAGGGTGTAAGTCATCTTTACTGGCTGTGTTACCTGGAAAGGGAGGAATCCTCAGCTTGCCCTGCTGAAATTGGGCTTGTTGATATGAGAAGTTCAGGGATTTCAGACGTTTCACTCTTTTAAACATCTCTTTTAACACACGCAGAGTACATCAAAACAGCTGAGATTGCACACTCCCGTGCTTCCTAAGGAAAGTATATTCTGAACCACGACAAAGTTGATTTCATTGAAACAGCTGGTTCCTTCTCAAAGCTTTGCTTTATCTGCTTGTTACTGCCCCTTTCAGTTCTTAGATTTACAAAAACATGGTGACCATTGCCTGGGACAAATGATCAAAACTGCAGTTGTAGATTGGTGGCAAAGTTAACGCTGATTACAGCGCAGGTTGCTTGTGACTCAGCACAAGGAGCGTGGCAGTGAGCAAGGCTGGGTCATTCTTACGATGCTTTTTTAAAAGATAATACATAGAATGTGAGTGAAACTGAAGAGATAGGACATTATGAGGTTAACAAAATATGTAAAACTGAGAAATATTCGGCTGTACTAGAAAATGTGGAATTCTATCCTGTTATCTGAGTACAACAGATATACTTGAATGTGATGTTTATTGTGGGCCCAGTGTTGCATTTCTTGTACAGTGATAATTTAAAAATTCAGTTCTAGATGCCTGCACTTTGCATTTTCTATTCTTTAATATTTATGGTTTATACTACTACCCTGCTCTGCTCTGACTAAAATTAGGTATAAAGAAAAAGTGACTCTACTTTGAGCAGGATAATTTTAGCACTGTTTTGTGTTGGTGTATGTTGGGGATCCCAATACTAATAATTGATTGCAACAAAAATCATTGCCAGATAAAACAAGCAGAATCATAGAATGGCTTTGTTTGGAAGGGACCTTAAAGATCCTCTAGTTCCATAGTCAACATTGAAAAAGAAAACACACTAAGATGGAATAATGTGAGCCGCTATGCTGTGGTGTTACCACATCTCATGTGCTGAGTGACAAGACATTTGAAACTTGAATAATTAAGGTGTTAAAATGTTTTTTCAAAGCGAGTTTTAAAGAACTGCAGCAGGCAGTGGGGTATGCGTGGAGGATCAGTAATGAGGGCTGTGCTGGTTTCTCCCGTGCAAAGTTCTATGATAAGCTGAATGTCTCAGCTGTTTGGCTGTACTGTGAGGCATTGCGTTGATAAGTATGAGTAATTGTTCAGGAGAAACTGTGACCAACGCACTGAGTCGAACTCACAAGTTACTGCTGTAATGAAAGACTGGCATTTAACTACTCACTCATTAAGTACTCTAACAAAGTTAGAAAATGTGTTTGCTATTTAGCTGCATTGCTGTAAGCTGACTCGTAATGTTGGTCATTTTACGCAGCAGTATAGCATTTGGAAACGAGTCTGTGATCACGAACTTTCATGTGCCTGTGCAGAATCCTGAGCCTGCACACAGATATGAGCTTAGTCAGCCTGCTGGCCCAGTCAGCTGCAGGACATGTCTTGCTAATGGGTGGCTGGGCAGTGGGTTAATTAAATCAATGACTGTTGCTTGTTGCCACTCACAACATGTTTATGCATATGCAAGTATGAACTTGCTTGGGGCATGTGCTGATACGCCTGGCTGGGAACCCGCTGTGGCTGGAAGCTCTGGCAAGTAGAGTGAGCGCATTCTGCCCAGGAGAGGAGTGGACTACTTTGCTCACCAGTGTGTTTGCATGGCTGCAGTTTTGGTACTTCAGGAGGTGTTCTGTTGTTTTTCTTTACTGATATGTGCAGGCAACTTAAGATCAGTTCAAATCCAAAGCTATCCAGCATGGCAAAGGAATGGATTTACAGGAAGCATTTGCACAAATAATTCCACCTAATAACTAATTTTTTAAAAATTGCATTTTGTTTAAATGACACAACAGAGAGCAACATGGGAGCAACATTAGCAGATTTCAGAAGCTGCCACTAGTGATGTGAAATGTAGTCAGTCCCTGAATCCGTAGATGTCATGCTCTGAAGAGCAACAAATCTGCTCTGCTTGGATGAGTCAGTGAGGTCATTCTTTACGGCAACTCCTGCCTCCATTTTGCAAAGTGCAGCTCAGCTGCTTGTCCTGAGGTTTCTTTGCTGTGGTGAAAATGTTTATGGCCAAACATTTTAAATGCAGTTGCCTAAAATCATACCCTTAAATTTGTATTTATAGAGGAGTATGTGTACAGCCTGAATTTTAGAGCCTCCGTTTCATCAGTGATTATTATCTCTGGAAATCAGACTGGTTTGGGGTTGTATCAGATTTAGAATTAGGAGTTCTGTTGTAATTGCCTAAATACAAAAGCTTTAGTGATATGTGTCGTCTTCCTTTTGCTCTTTGCTGTGGAGTGAAGGACTTAAATTCATCCTACAGGCCAGAAATCCCAAAGCTGTCTACTTGTAATCAAAGTGAAGGTTGGTCTGAAAAGCTGTACCAGCAAACAGAGCAGAGCTGGTGAGTTGTTCTGCATAGCAAGACCCATACGTTCAGAGACCCAGTGAAACCTTTTTGCTGTTTTCCAGTGCGATTTGCAAATGGCAAAAAGCACCATGTCCTTTGCCTCTTTATCCATGTTAATTTTTCATGGGTTAGCACTCACCCTGGAAATCTGAATTAAGTGAGTCTTGAGAGGGTCTGTTCCAGCAACATAACTTAGCGAGTACCCCAAAATGAGGGAAAGAGGGGCAGCAAGAATAAACTACTGAACTCTAAGCCTACAGATGAGGCTTGGATTTCAAGAATAGGCTGCAAGCAACTTATTTGTCACTGTGTGGTTCATTTTAAATTTAGGTTGATGAACAAAGTGTTTTTCCCAGGCATGCTCTAGCTGTCTTCATGTACTTAGCTTTACTTTAATCTGCCATGCAGGCTATACATTAGAATAGAAAGAAAACTCTGACACTGGGCTTGCTACTGGATCCTCTTAGAATTCCTTCTGGAGATGTTGCTGCTCTTTGACTTCCCAAATATACATTGGATGAGCCCATCTTCTTGAATGCACCAAATATACATTTTGGAAAAATGCTCGTGGGGAAGATGCTTCCGTGTTTCCTACTAAAGCATTGCTTTTCCTGTATTCAAGCAGCATGGTTCAAGTGCTGAATTAACTGCAATGAAAGCTCTAAGGAGAGGAGGTGGCATAAGGATATTTGTTTGGCAGTTTGGTTTTTAATTAAATTTCATTACGAATCAGTAGCCATTATTACAGTTTATGTGTAAAATTTAAAAAACATGGGACGAATGCACATAAACAGGGGTAACAGTCTCTTGAATAAAGTCACTGCAAAGCTGGAATGTAAGTGCAGACAATTTACAAACTTCAGCAAATCTGTTTCTATCCCTGTATCTCTGGAAAAAGATTTGTAGAAGCCATCTCATCTGAAGATGTTTTTAACTACACTGTCAGCCTTGTGTTTTTTTTTCAGGCAACATTCTGGTAAACACGATCTTAAGAAGCTAAACTGTGTTATATCTTTGCACCAGAAACAGCAGTCATCTAGCATGCACTGGCCCAGTATTGCATGATGCCATTTCTGCTGACATGGACACCAGTAAAATTTCACTTGTGGTGAATATGGCTATTGTAGCTGGATTTTCTCATCTGCAAGCCATTTCCATTCATACAGAAAGGGTATTTTGTTTTATTAGCCATCGCTTTGACTTGTAAAGAGCTGCTGCAGGGGGCTGTAACAGTGATGCTAACACAGGGGCTGGATATCACTGTGGTTTCTGCCCTGTTGTACAGTGAAGGCATCACTTGACATTGGGTTACAGCAGCCTTGGTTCTGTTTGTGTATTAAAATATATGAGCAGCTTACGTATCTCAAGAGATAGTTCTGTAGTTCTGTAAAGCAGTGCATATTTTTGTAGCTTGTTGTGCATTTGTATGAAGAAACTTGTTTTGTGTTTACTGGCACTTTTTCATAGCTCAGATTTTTCAGTGCAAGTCAGATAACGATTGTGTTGGTTATCATATGGTTCTAGCAGATTAAATGGCAGTCATCAATGAAGTAGCTTGTTAATATAAATAGATCATTTTCTGCTGAAACATTTGTGTTCTGTTGACTTGTATGAACATATGTGAAAGCATCCAAAGGCCTTGGTGAAGCCTAGGATGAGTATTAAAGGGCAGTCACGTTTCAGTAGCTGTTCTCTTTTGGACACTTATAAAGTTAGAGTAGATAAAAGTTATAGCAGCCTTTTAAATACAGCAGAGCGTTTAGAGAATATTAAGCAGTGAGTATTAGCATCTTGTCATTTATCCTAATATTAGTCTTCCAGATGTATTCTGCCACAGTATTTGGCTCAGTGTTCAGCTGTAAAACATCTTGACCATAAGATGACATTCAGTCAACTGCTTTGTTGGAGCGAGTATTGAAAATGGATCACTTCTGGGTGAGCTTCCAAAACCCATGTTCCAAGAATCTCATCCATTCATCACTGCTGCTAGGTTCTGCTTCACATCAAACTGTAAATAAGTGGAACTGGGCGTGCTGCAATCTCTGTAGCTTGTGGTATGGAAAAGTGCATGGATAGAGGTTAATGTTGTAACAGTTTCACTTTGAGTTTGAAGTTGGCAACAGCAAAACATTAAGCTGTAAATAGTGAAGCATTTCTTGAAGATTTCATTTTGGTAATCGTCAGCTGGATTTTCTTAATGATGTACATTCTAAAATGTCAGCAGGGGAGCATGCAAGTTGGTTTCAAATTAAATAATAACAAAAGCAGACAAAAGGAGAAGAATCTGTTTTTTGTTCTCTTTATTACATTTCCCTTTCTTACAAGCTGATCTGCCTGAATGCAGCTGATGGATGTGGCTTTCAGTGTTCTGCTGTGCTCCCCTCGATCTCTGGCTGCACGGTGTGCTGGAACTGGGTCTGTGGGGGCCACTACAAGCCTGGCAGTGCTTGCCTGGGCTCTGAGCCTCACTTAAGGTGTGGTCATGTCTCATCTGTCTCCTGCTGTTCTCAGAACAAGAGAGGTGCTTAGCTCCTATGAGTGTAGCCTTTAACTATCCTCTCAAAATCATTGCAAGGAGGAGCTGACACAAAATACTTGGCAGTTTTGTACTGCTGATCCCTTTAATGTCCCGCTACCTAAATTGGAGAGGGCTTCCATTTAATGCTCTTTAGCAGGGCTTCATCCTGGCAGGCTGTTTGCTTCTTGCATACAGCACTGAAACTTGGAGCAGAGAGCAATCAGGAGGGGAGTTTGAGTAGTTCACGTTTTTCCCCAGAATTGCAGGGAACAGTAAAATGAAAGGCAGTCGTGTTACAATGGCACTAAAAATAGCTGTAGTTGTCTCCACCCCATTATGGCTTGCTTCCAGAAACGTGTTGAGCTAATGAATGAATGTGAAGTATATTACATTCATGTGCAGTCTGTTTTGTAGCATTCTTCAGGTTTTCCCAGTGATTCTTACATTTGTCTTCTTTTTTTAAAAATCCAGTTTTCTAAAAGAAACCTTTAATTTTGATGTGAGCTGATTTAATGTGGGATTTCAGCTGTTTGAGTTCTGTAGAATCCCAACTGTTTGAGTTCTGTAGATACATCTTCCAGCACTTGAAAGCAGCTGCATTTAGTAATGAAACCATCAGTAATCACATGAGTTATTGGAGAAGTCGTTTTCCTTTCTTACAGGACTTTGTTGTGGTCATGCATTTTCTCTGAAGCTTTAGAATTGCCTGGAAAGCACCACTTCAACATCACCACATGGCTGAACCTACAAGTAATATTTGTCTTGCTTTAAAATGACTAACTAGTATTAGCATTAAGTGGCTTTTCTGTATGATATGCTGTTTCTCCAGTTGTAAAGCAGCAGTATCAGTAAGTTGTAGGTGAAGGTATACAGATCTATGACCTTCCCATTTGGGGGCTGGATATCACAGGCCTGAAGGAAAATGGTAGGAGTTAGAGTGTTCATTAGCACCTTGTATGACATGCATTATGGCAGTCAACACATGAAGTCTGAAGACTTCAGACTGATACACAATCAATCTCCCTCCAGAAAAGGACCTGTAGAACTCTGAGTGGGTTTGAACAAGCAGTGCTGTTTGTACACTTCTGTAGGAGCCCATCGAATGATGTCTTTTCTGTCACTGATGAAACATTCCTACATTTCTCTCATCTGCTAGATGGATTTGTTCTTCAGATGTCAGTTCTTCCAGGCATTTCTTTTCTAACATCTCTAACATCTGTGCTTTTCTAGCTTTTTTTCTTTCTTTCTTTCTTTTTTTTTTTTAATGCAAGGTCTTGGTCTTCAAGTGAGACACTGATGTTTCTTGGCCACTGACCAGCGCTTGGCTTTATGTTCTGCTGTTGGTAGTGCCTTTCCAACTTGCCTCTCATGTCTTTTGTTAAATATTTCACATATACAAATGTCAATGATTGAAATTTAACACCTGCATTTTCCAAAATTTAGCCTAAGATGAAATATATATAATGTTAAAGCAAGACAAATGTTAAAAATAAGTATTTTTAAGGACACAGTATTCATTTTTATAGTCTGTTACATTTGCAGGTTGCCTTTGGTTCTCTGAATGTAGTAACCTTACCAGAGTTTCTTTTATTAGTCTGAACTTTGCACTGTAATATGCAGCCAATATTAAAACCTGAGATGTACTTGCTAAACATTTTACGTATCAAAATGATGGTATGGATATCTTAAAATTCTTATTTGTTCTGCTAAGCTTATGATGATGTAGCTTTTGGAGAATACAGAGTATCACCAGAACTAAGGTCAAAGTGTTGTGAAGGTGACAATACCTTTCCTTTGTGACTCTTATTCCCTTTGTGGTAAGAAATTTGGTTGATGGAATGCAGCAGTGAGGCAAGGCTACTACTTTTCCTCTGTATGGGCTCAAGGGGTGATGTTTATATTGCTGTGGGCCTTGAGGAAAGATTATGCTGCTGAGGAAAGTCACTTAAACCCCTAAGTTTTGCTCTGTTATTTAAATAGGTTTGTGTCTACATTACAGAGCACGACCCTATTAGTTTCAAAATGAACGTGAGATATACAGTAACATTTATCAGAGGGATTAAAATCTGGAAGGCTCTTCCTTTCTGGCTGGGTTTGAATCATGGAGTCCGGAGGAGATTGGTGGTTGTTTTGGAAAAGCAATTGGGCTGTGTGGCTGCAGAGCAGGGTTGAGCCGAGCTGTCAGTCAGCGACGGACATACCTACACTGTGAGCAGCCTGACGTGGATGTAACACAGTGCCTTTCTGCTGCTCTGTATGAGGTGCGAGGTGTGGGTTGTCAGCTCTGCGTAATTGATTCCTTCAGCCTAGGTGAGGAACGCTGTGACCCACGAGGAGGTAATAACACAGCATGAAGCCAAAGAGGACAAGCACGTAGCTTACGCCAGCTGTGCCTTTGTTCCTACTGAGTAGTGTGACTGAAGGGTAAAGAACACCCGTGGTATATATGCGGCATTATTCTCAGAAAAGTAGCCATTTAATTTGAGACATCAAACCCAACTCCATTGTTTCTGTTTTTCTTTCTCTCTTTCTTTTTTCCTTTTTCTTTTTTCTTTTCTTCCTTTCTTCCCAAGAAAACAATTTTATTTAGGCTTCAGAGTGCTTGTTCACACAAAACAGCTGTAGTATTTGCTATTATTTTAAACTGTAGAGATTTGTTCATGGCTATCTGTAGATGCATAAGGTGCTGTTTCTTTGCTTCCTTGAAGTTCTGTTAGTCTTGCTTTTTTATATCATTATACAGGGATAATTATCTTTCTGTTCCCCTTATTAAGTCACAAGCTGACTTGATTTTTTTTTTTAATTTCATCCCTGGCATTTCTTAAATGAAGATAAATTATGCACTCTCTATTTTCAGTATAAATCATTGTAACAAATAGGACTTGACCTATATAGTTACAGCCAAATGTTACCAAAGCTTTGCTTTTAATTATTATTTCAAGGGTAAGTAAGAATATTAGAACTAAAATAGGTGGATTTCACATTTGCAGACTGCCTAAGAAGTGCTCTTCTAATAGATGTTATGACGCATTTCATGTAGAACACTGTAACTAAGTAAATCCTGTACTTTTCTTTTTGTTGATCTGTTTTTAGGATCCATACAATAGATTTAATGATGTGATGTACAGGTGGATCTCACTGGATAACTGGACTTACAGCAAGACATTCAAAACTCCTTTTGATGTCAGGTATGCAATAAGGATGTGTCTAAAATAGTTTTGTGACATCTTTCATGCAGAATTTCTGGTTAATCCATCGGCTCAAAATCTGCTTAATACTTTAGTATCTAATGAAACAAATTATGCAATGTGTACAGCTGCAAAGCTGTTGCCAAAGGACACTGCAGAGGTTGCTTTTTCTCATTTTTATCTTCATTGTTAAAAATTACTTAGGAGCTGCCAACTGTGGAAGAATGATACTTCAGCTGATTGGAAGCTAGCCAATCTGGTATTTCATGGGTATGTGAACTTGCGGTGTTGCAGACTTTTGAGCCACTTCAGCTGTCTTCATCTGATTATTTAGAGATATAATGTAGCCTCACTAAGTCAAACATTTTTGGATGTGATTGATATAGCTGTTGCTAATAATAACTGAGGCATACACGTTTACATTATCTGTTTTCTGACCATTGTTAACTGTAGGTATTCTAACAGTGTTTTATGTGTATGTTGATTTCTGTAGAAAGTGGCAGAAAGTGAATCTGGTTTTTGAGGGAGTAGATACAGTAGCACACATCCTGCTCAACAATGTCACTCTTGGGAGAACAAACAACATGTTCAAACGATACGTAAGTAATGCATTTAGTTCTGAAAGTGCCTCATTTCTCATTTAAAGCCATTCTAGCTGAAAACCTTCAATGCTTTAAGTATGCATGCAGATAGGTGCTCAGAGCCATAAAGTGTTGACCTGAGGACTGCACATATGATCAGATAACTGCTGGGAAGAGAAGCGTGCTTGCCTTTTCAGTAGCAGCATGATCAGATCTAGATGTAACTATGTCTTGTTCAAAACAAGTGGACCCACACAAGAGGGTCGGTTTAGCTAACAATGCAAATCTTGCTTCTTGGATTCTGTCACAGCTCTAAGAAAACTTAAGCTTAAGTCTTTTTTATTAGCAGTAAATCTGCTTACTAGTTGCTATTAGAATGGATCACTTTTGAATACTGAAATTAAAAATACACATGGTACAAAACTTTTATAAGGGTTTCTATTACTTTCCATTATACAGAGTTTTGATATTTAGTATTGGGCTTTTGATGACATTGCTACATCTTCCAGCTCAGCCCACAGGGGCATGAAGATCATCATAGAATGATCTGGAGAGTGGCAAAAGCATTCAAACTAATTTTATAGCTTTTAAGTGTAAAACAGTTCCCGAGTAGTAGCATAAACTGATCCTCATTTGATCCTTGCCTTTCTCTTGAGGGAATCAAAAACAAAGAAAATTGTTAGTGGAGTCATTTAGTTAAAATGGAAAACTGGTATCTTCATATCTCTGCATTTACCATTCTGGCAGGTTTTATTGCGGGTACTGAACTGAGACATGAGAGCTAGATTCTGCCACCTGAGTCTTTGTGACCTGGGACAAATCACTCAGCTTCTCTGTGACTTAGTGTTGCCATCTGTGAAATGAGAGTTTTCATATGGCTCTGAAGAAATCATGCAATATTTGGAGAGTATTTAAAGGACTGCTAGTAGCAGGCTGTGTAGTACTGGAATGTGATATTAGTTTGCTCTTATTTCTGGGACTTCATTCTGTATCAGATTGTTACAGTTCATGAAATGGCCTTCAGTGTATAACCAGAGTTAACTGTATCAGATTGAGTCTAGGATGGCTCTGACCTGCATTTCTGCTTTGTTCACATTTTTGCACATGATAACTGTGTCTTCAGGAAGGTCTCTATGAAGGCTCTGTGTGGGTAGTGCTGTATGCTATAAAAGTGAAGTGAGTGGTGCTGGCTGGGCTGTTCACAAATGGAAGAAATAACTAAGATTTGGTTTGTTACAATGAACACTATTTAGAAGAAATGAGTGTTAGTTATTAGAAGCACAGAACAATTCTGAAACTGAATGTTTACCCCTCTATCCAGCCACACTGAAGAGGCCTTTGTGAGCCAATGAAGAAGCCCCCAAATTCTTTGTGAGGTGCTAATGTGGGATGAGTGTCTGTAAGTGTTATGGATGGGAGGGGACGTGGTGTAAAATACAAGTTTGCGGCATTCATGCAAAAGTCAGCTCAGTGGTTTGTGATAGAGAAGTTGGCAGCACAGTGTGAGTTAGTGTATAGAGGAGCCCTCTGATTTGGAACAAAGTGCCTTTCTAAAAAAATGCAGATGAGTTCTGAGCGAGGCAGGAGGGGAAAAATTCTCTAGCCGTCCTCATTCTTCAAGCAGTTCAGTGTGCAATCACACTGCTGAAGCCTGCAGCGAGGACTCTGCATGGGCAAAGCAGTTTGTCCAGACAGGTTTTTGTATCTAGAATTCTACAGTGCATTTTGTTTTTTCAATAAGGAATAACCTTTCTTTTCTTCAAAACCGAGAGCCTGCTGAAGCTGTAGATCAAATGCTTTTGAATAATATCCATATGGTATTAAAACCCCAATGTGACAGTGATTATAAGTCTCATAAATAATGTTAGTGCTGTAATGATTTTGCTTTGTTCTCTTAACCTAGAGCTTTGATATTACCAGCATGATCAAGGAGGTCAATTTTATTCAAGTCCATTTCATATCAGCCATTTCATATGCTGCAGAGCAGAGCAGATGTCACAAAGCATACAGCGTCCCCCCAGCGTGCCCTCCACCTGTGCAGAAAGGCGAGTGCCATGCTAATTTCATCAGAAAGGTAGGTAAAGAACTCTCTGTCTTTGGCTTCAGGCACGAGGAGAGGAATGTGCTATGTGCTGTCCTTACAGATGTATTCCAAAACCTTCAATGTCATTTTATTAATAGGATGTATTTTTCATTGTAATTTCTTTCTGCTGCATCCCTAAGAAGCCTGTAACCAAGCATGCAGGTAATATAGGAGGTGTATGAAGGCCAGGCTAAGCACACTTACTTGGTAAGAATTTTTAAAAGGCTTTTTATTTTTTAATTTTTTTTATGGAGGAGTCAGCAAGGAGACTGGCTGCTAAGAGAGCAGAGTAGCACTGAAAAATGTGTAATCATTACATTTCAATCCACTGTGTGGATTTAGCAAGATATACTGACACTATTCCCTGTTACAAATACCAGTTTATATAGCCAAGGCTGTAAAAATTTCAGCCAAGCAGCTTTATGAGTGTTTGCTATTTGCTCATGTTCTTACTATTTATACTGGGCAGTTCTGTCCTGAAAAGTGTTATCTAATAGAGGACCTATTTGCATCTTACTACCTTGTGAATTTTAGGTAGGTATTCAGTGAAACCAACAATAATATACAAAGAATAAAAGTCAGAAACTCTGACTTCATTGCTGTTCTCTATAATTTGTATAGCATCTCATTTATTTGTGACAGCTTTGCAGAAGCCAGGGAAGAGGGTGGCTAGGTGAACTTCTGTAGGTCACTCCAAAAATAATGCTACCTATTTATTTTCGTGAAAAGCACAACACATGCAAAGAGCACAAAAACACCATCTAATAGAGCAAACTCTCAGCTACAAATACTCTTTTTCAACCATCATAAGCTATGCATTTTTGCCAGTGATGAACAAAAGTCTGCATGCCATGCTCATAAGAATCTGTCTGACCGTCTGGATCGTAGCTTGTCTTTCACTTCACCGTCATCACTGCTGAAAGGCATCACCCATTGCCTCACTGTGCTCACATCCACTGTTTGGTCTCCATAAATGTTCAGCAAATGTCGATGAATGTCAATGGGTGCGATTTTTTTCAGCATGGAGGAATTGAGTTGCACATTTTTGCTTTGCATGCACTTCTATGTCAAGTGCTGCATTGTCAGTCTGCCCCTCAGCTGCCATCTGTCACACAGCAGCAAAATGTAACAGTAACAATGGAAAGGTTCAACCACTACTGCTGTACCACCAACATCCCCCTCTGCCATCATGGGCCAGTGTAATAAAATAGGAGGCATTACTTTGGAATTGCTTTTATTTATTTATTGCATATTTGTCTCCTCTTAAATGCCTTTCTTTTTTAAGGAGTTTTAAACTTTTTTAACAAGGTCTTGCAGAAGCCTCTCAAAAAGCAAGGAGAATCCTGTTAATCTAAACATGGGTGTAATTTACTTTATATTTATTAATGGAAAGTTGAATTTCATGTTGTCCATACATACATCAGTATTAAGATGTCTGTTTCACTACTTGTTGCTGCTTTTATTTTTATTGCGTTTCAGAAAGTTGATGCTATCTCCACTATGTTTCTTAGAAATCAGTTCAGGGAGGGGCTTGAAAGGAAGAAGGCACTTGAGCAGCTGTAATCTTATTTATAGAACAAAAATGGCCAGGAATTATTTTGTACTTTACTGAACTATACTTCAAAATTTGCACAAAAGTACCTTCATTTGTTTTCTCAAAGGTGCTTGACTGTTCTTGGAAACTGCTACAGACATTTCCAGAAACATTTGAAACATTTTTAGTTTCAAGTATGTGGTAAAAGCAGTAACTGTGTCCCATTTAAAAGGGAACAAACACACTAGAGCGTAGCTAAATGAAGCTGGCTGCTTATCATCTTGTAGTAATGGAGAACTGAGTGCATGTTCGAGGTTCAGCATTAAGTGCAGTAAATGTATCTAAATCTTAACACCAATCTGTGGTGAAACGCAACTCTTTCTCTAGTAAACAGTTTTTAGTGATATGAGTATATTGTTCTTACCACATTATTTCTGATAGTCTCTGCTGTATTATTAGTGAAACCTGACCATCCATCAGTGATTCATTTGCTTATGTTGTGTAAAGGGAAAATTGCTTTCAATCTGATTTGTTTTCTAAGAATGCCCTGTCCCTGTTTTCACACTTGAAATAGGTGCAGTGCTCGCTTCCTGGAAGGCTGTTTTGCAACTTGATAGGCGGGCAGACTGACTCCAGCAGTGCAGGGGATAGGCCAGACTTGTGCGATGTGGTTTGCCAAAATTAGTATGCCTCGGCTGCAAGTTATTAGTCTCTAAATTTAGAACTATAGGTCACTCTACAAGACTTTAAGGAGATCTATTGTATTTGCTTTGAGGGCTGGGGCTTGCGAAGCTTGGAGGACAGCTGAATAGATGTCTTCAAGGGGTTTGTTAAGTAGAGATCTCACTACATTTGAAAAACAGCTAAATGGAAAGCACTTCTGTGCCCAGCAAGCATTTTATAATTCAGATGGTTATTCTCTTAGAATCAAAACTAGGATATTCCTCAACTGTATTTTTGTTCCCTTTGTTTTTGTACGAAGGAACTGCAAAAAAGGGGAAAACAACAGTGAACAGAACTGAACTGCACAAATAACCAGACATGCACACCTCTTTCCTTGTACTAATTTATGGCGTTACCATGAAAAATAGAGGTTAAAATATTTTAGATATGCCCATGATGTTTCATCATTCTCTTCCAGAGCTTCTCTTGGTAATGATTTGCTTTCTGCTTACTTTGTCTTTTAGTTATGAAATTAAATATTGACCTTAAAACTAAGACAATTCAGAGCAGAACTGAAAGTAACTTTCTGGTTTCATTTTTTTCCATCTTAACATTTCATTTTATTTTTAGTTGTTGGGAGAAGTGATTTACTCTTTTACTAATACTAAACTTTAACATATGTGGAAATTTAATACAAAGTTGTATTTTTATATAATACAGGTAGTAGCAACAGAGTTCTGAGTAAAAGGAAAAATACTGTAGGCTGTTCTAAATTGAAGAAAATTGGAAAAATTCTTTCACTGCATGATAATATTTCATTTCTAGATAACAAATACTTCTCATTTCTGCTTCAGCATCAGTTTCTGTGTGAAAAATAGACAATTATAGTGTAATTATTTTGTATTCCAGGAGCAGTGTTCATTTAGTTGGGACTGGGGCCCTTCTTTTCCCACTCAAGGAATCTGGAAAGATGTGAGGATTGAGGCCTATAACCATTATCATTTGATTTACTTTTCTTTAACTCCTTTCTTTGGTAAGTCACGTTACTACCTTTTATTATTTGTTTTCTGGAAAACAAACCACTTTATTGTTAAGCTATATTAACTGTTCATTTAGAAAAAGGTTCTGTGGTTTTATTGTCACTTTGTTGTGCTTACCACAGCACACACTTTTAGGTCTTGAACCAGCACTTAGTACAAACAGTACTGATTAAAATGTTAGAATTTAGAATCTTTTTATGCCTGAAGATCACAGAATAACTTAAGAAATACTATATAGTGTAACTGAGGTTAGTCCCAGTTCACCTGTTTCAGAAAAATTCTTTTTTGTTGGCATGTATTTTTATTCCCAATAAATGAGTCTCACTTCTGTTGCACCTCCATTTGAAACAAAGACAAAGCTACTATGGAAATTTAATTCAGTGTTGGGAACGCAAATGCAGAGCAAGCAGAATTTCAGGAGCACTGAATTTTCAGAGCACAATATGAAGCTTGAGGCAGAAGAGCAGTGTTCTTATACTGTGGTAATTTGTTAAGGCTGCAATTTGAGAGGACAACCTTCTGCATTCTTGCTATCTAACTTACCCAACCGGTTTCTTCCCTGGATGTGTTTTTTGATTTTCCTCTCCTTTGTCTTGAAGATTATTGCAGCTGAGCAAAGTACTTAATTTTCTGTCAGAACTTTCTGCAAAAGGTAATGTAGCCCATTGGAGACCACCTGCACATTTTCACTGCCTGTTGAGCCCAGTCTTCAGTGGAGTAAAGGCTAGCATGTGAGTCCTCTGCACTGGGTTGAATTTCAGCCCTTGGGAACAGAGTTTTTGTGTAGGAATAAAAGAGGAAGATGTCACTCCCTGAATGTTTTTAAAGCTTTCTGATATAGCTGCAGATCTTAGTTAGAATTAACGTGACTGGAATTTCCATGGAAAGCCCCAGCACCGGCTCTGTGCTCTCTAGGACTTAGTTACAGTAATAATCTTTTCTGGTCCCTCCCACATTCCCACAACTCCACCTTCTGGTAGGCAGTGTTACTCTCTGAATAGCTTAGAGAGCAAACCTCTTTCATTCCACGGAGAGTATTTTGAAACCAGAGCCACAGCATATGAGTATCCATACGTAATAACATTTGAAAAATAAAGAATAAATAAACAACTTGAATTTAAACTGGCTATGTGCTTACATTGCTCAACAGATCTGGTGTCATTGCCTTTTGACCACTGAGTCTGTAAAAGATTCACTGTTCTTGATTTCTGTGCCTAGATTCTGCATTTCAGCAGTAAATGGGTAGGCTGGAATTTCTTTATTCTCTTGGATGGAAGGGAAGATGCTCTGTAACTACCAACCTTTCTGGTAGTTTGTGTGGGTTTATCTTTTAAACCCTCCAACATTTCTGAAAATTCATCTTCCTTGGGTAATGCTGCATGCAATACAAACTTGCAAACCCATTCACTGCTTGTAGTTCTAAAAAATGCAGTAAAAGTCACAGCAAGGCCAAATGTAGTTGTTTGGTTTTGGAGGAAGCTCTTTTTCCCTGGAAGAAGAGCTAGAATGTGTGAATATGTGAAATACGTGATGAGCAGCTTATGGATACAAAGTGTGTCTTAGTTTTAGTTTTCCTTGTTTTCTGCTTTATAGACATTCATCTGTTATATATGAATATAGCAGTAGCCAGGATGTGCCTGTACATAGATAATATAATTGCTGGGATAAGTGAGAAATTAGAACATTAGACTTGAGTAACCTTGACCCTGGCTTGCTTTGTTTGATAAGTTGTTTTGTAAAGGAGATGGCTTGCTCAGGTAGCAGTGGGGAGAGGTCTTGGGCAAGTTGTTGACTTACTTTCTCCACCAAACTTTAAGAGCAGAAGGATATAATGATAGAGCCCATCAAGTCTAGACACAGTGGGTCCTATTCATTCTCAGCATAACTCCATTCATTTTGTTTAGTGACTCTGGGGTAAATTGGGCTCAGTTTCTGTTAATACTGGTTCTGTTTCATAGACAAAAGTGATTGTACTTCCTTGCGATTACGATCTTTCCTAAAGAGTACCATGTTCGTATGAGTGCTGACTAAAAGCAAATATAATGTCTGTGGGAGTAGGTAGAAAAAAGAAACATTTTCCTAATGATAAAGTGGTTGGTGTAATATTCTCTGACTTCTGTACAAAACTCTGAAAAAGCCCTGGATAGCTTTGGAATGAAAAGCATTATAAAATACAAATCACATTACGTAGTTCCATTCTAAGTCAGAAAATCTAATCTAATATAAAATGCACTAAGTAAGATTAACCTTGTAGGTCTGGTTCAAACACTACCTGAAAATTGTTAAATTTAATCCGAGCTATTTAAATTGTTTCTTTGATGAGAGATCATGTTAACTAATAGATACATACACTCAGTTCCTGTATTCCCATTTCTTCTTCCCCTTTACTAAGTGAGTAGAGCTCAGCAGTGGAGTCTCGAAATTGAGTCCATCTTTAATGTAGTCGGCTCCAAGCCAATTGCAGGTCTTGCAACTGTGAACATTCCCAAACTGCAAACACAGCAAACATACAGTGTGAAGCTGCAACCTGGTGAAGGCAGTATTGTGCTGCTTGTAAACATCAGCAAGGTAAGGAGCTGTGCATGAGAGCTCTAGCCAAATGCAAACTGTACTGTAGCACTTGGTTTTCAATGGGTCTTTCTGCTTCCATATCAGTTTCGCCCTCTTCTTTCTTTCTTTGCTCCTGACTTTGACAAGTTCTGTAGCCCTTACAGGATAGGAAAAAAAGTTATTTCCCTCACTAAAAGCTGTTTTGTTTTGTTTTGTTTTTTTTTTAATCTGTGTAGCACAATATCAAAAAAGATGCTGAAGCCTTTCCCTTATTACAGAACAAAACAAAAAGATCATTTCCTCATGGCCATAAATTTTGTGCGCCATATTTCACTTAACTCTTCTGGCAGTAGGTGTCCTGTCTTTCATGCCATTGTTTATCTGGTTGATTGGGACTGGAATATAATGCAAAGGAAAGAGAGGAAACATTCCTCAAACCTCTCAGTAAATACTCTTTCATGTAAATAAAAGCAAGAGAACCATGTGAAGAACTTGACTGGCAGTAGTGTTGGTGGAAGTTTTGTGTAGTAATTCCTTATATTGGCTTTGGGTAGGCAAGGGCTAGAAGGAATTTTGGAGGTTAGAGAAAGCTCTAATGAAGAGAGAACTCTACTGTTTGTTATACACCCCAGAGATAGAAGACAAAAGAATGGGCTCACCTTCAGAGAGTTTTGGGAAACAATCCAATGGCAGGCTCAAATCACCAGCATTATTTCCCTTCTTGAGTTCTTGTGGTTTTTTAGAAACTGTGTTGAGTTTTATGACATAGATGTAATTAAGATTAAGGCAGTGCCAGCTGCCTGTGATATTGCTGTCCCTTGGAGCCAAGCAGGACCTGTTGTCTGCTTTGCTGCCATAGGGCACAGCCAAGTTTGTGGACAAGCAGGCTGGGGCTTCAGATAGCCCTGGCACTTAGTAACATCTTAATGTCTGTGACAGTTGTTGGATGTTATGCTGGCCTTTACCAAAAATTTTCTCTTTTGCTGTGTAACTGCATTTGTTTCCCCAGTTTGAATGTCTTATGGGCATATTCCTAAGTTACCTTGTCAGTTGCTTCAGTGGAGAAAAAGCATGTTAAAAATGAACAGGACATTTGTGCTTCAGTATGCATGTTCAGTGATTTGCCTGATGATGTGCTTTGTTTTATTTTGACGTAAAGCAGAAAAGCATGTAAACATATGATTTTTATTAGTTTTATCATCAGATGTGCAAGTTGTGTGAGTAATTACAAATACCTAGATGAATTTTAAGCAATCATTAGTCTCTGCTTAGCCTTTCCAGGGATTACACTGTGCAAGCACGACAATGTGAAGCTTCAAAAGTGATTGATTTAATCACCCCACCCCCAACTTCAGAAGAAATCTGTTAGTGGGGTATAACTGTGAGCTTGTGAGGAAGCACTTCCTTCAGAGCAGAAGCAACAGTGTGTTGTTATTCTTTGTACAAGGAGGGCTTTGCTGCATGAACTCACGGCAGCTGATTTTACGAGAAGCCCTGCAATGTGTTCTAACATATTGACGAGCATAAAGGAGCACTTGCTCCATACGACAGTCTTCTGAGGTGCTTGTTAAATAGTGAGACCTCACCAGAAATTTGTTTTTAGTTGAGAGCTTGTTGCAAATTATGTTAGAAAGTCAGTAGGTGCTTGAGTAGTGCATATAAGCTGAGATGCTTATCTAGAAATCCCCACACAAAGTGCTGTGTTGCTAATGTGACAGTATTTTGCTTATCAGCTAATGGTGACGATGACATCATTATTGACCAATGAAACATTCCAGCTGTCCTAGGTGGCTGCAAATGCTCCCTTGCTGTTGGGGCACATGATGATTTTGTGCTGCCATCTGTATCCATGCAATTCAGAGATCAGCACTTCAGCACAAGCAGTTATGATAACTCCAAGGAAGCTGAAATATTTCTAAATATGTTAATTATTATGTCCAAGTGTGGCTACAGCAAAACATATTGTTGGGCTGCTCTCTGGTCTCCCTTTATACAGAAAGATTGAGGCACTCCTTTCATGACTCTATTCAGTGCTGATCCCTGCATTGTTTGATTGCACGCATTATTGCTTTCTTTCCACAATTTTTGTGTTGTGGAAATATTTGCTGGCAAATGTTGGCAATAGGACTGAGCAGCAGAAGTAGGCTATTGGAATGAAAATGCATGTAAGTGTAGGAAATTATTTATATAAATACTACTCTCTGTCTAGAAAAATGAGAAAATTAAACCTTAAAGGTAGCTCTTTTATGTTTGTGAAAATCTTGGAGTACTATTGAAATTATTAGGAAGCACAGATAAAAAGCAGAAAGCAGTGAAATGAGTGAATGAAACCTCTTATATGAAACAGTCTGCCCACATACTACCTAGGTCACAACTGAAAAATGTCACCCCTGTAAATCTGATTTTGCATAGGTAAACAGGACAATTAGATGAGGGGTATGATAGAGGCTAATAAGCAGTGTCTGCTTCTGAGACTCAGATATTAGAGTTTTGGAGAAACGTTCTATCAGCCATCCTCTCTGTCTATACACACATATGCACACATATACATGCTGATGGCCGGTTGTGGACTCAAAGTGAAGTAGTAGCTGAGACGCAAATGAGAGATCAATCACACTTTAACCACTTTTCACCTCAGTGCCTCAGCTGGAGCAAGCCCACTTACCTTGGCTCAGCTGAGGCACATAAACTCATCAGGTCTCTCAAAGGCAGCTAAGCCCCCAGGTGTGTGCTATGTCTTTACTCATAAAAACATTCTGGCTTTTTCCTCTTGCATGTTCAAGAACTCTACAGTAGAAGCTTGGTGGCCAAATGGACATGGAACACAAATTGGATACAATGTGACGACAACCTTCGTCATGGAAGGAGGATACCAGATTGAGAAAATTTCAAAAGTGAGCCCTTCAGTTTCTTTTATAGCTGGCATTGCTCTACGTGTTGTGTATCTAAAGCTCTGAATTGTTTTGCTGGATTATAATATGCATGTGAAAGCACTGATGAGAAACAAGGGTTTTTCTTAATGTCACAATGTATGTTTACCTGTTTTGTGGTAGCTTTAGCCTTCATAGGCGTCTTTACTTTCATTCAGACTAGAAGGTGGCTCATAGTTAGTTGGAAACATCAGAAAGGAAAAGATCTTTAACCTTTCTTCCTTTTTTTTTTAAAAAAAAAAAAACAAAACTCTCCTTTAAACTTGATCAGTTGTGGTGATGTTTTTATATTGTGTACTAGAAAGCTCATTTACATTTCTATAAACTATAAATGTTGGGGAAGGTTTATTGAACTTTTCTCGCTAATTCACATTAAAAGAAAAAATTGTGGGATTGGTGTAATCTTAAGAAGCTAACTTCTAAATTTCATTTGTTAGAATGTGATAGAAGTGCTTCAAGTTCTAGAAAAGGTAACATCTTAAAACTGACCAGAAAAGTAATATTTAGAGACAAGATATCTGCTTAAGGGTTCTGCAACATACTGGCTGTATAATTATCTGATTGTTGTTACTAATAAGCTCAGAAGAGACAATTTCCCACTATCCTTTGGAGAAAAACAAATAAAAAAACAGTTACGAGTAAGACTGAGCCCCTTATGCCATTAACATGTGGAAACAACCATGTAAACATATGCATTAGGTGGTTCTGAGGTATATTGCTTCACTAAAATCTTGTCACCAGGCATCTAAAACTGCTATTTGCTATAATGTTTGTTCACATAGAAAAAAACAGGAGCTTCTGGAGTCTCAGACTTTATAGGGCTAGTAGTTAGGCTGATTATGAGGTCCTAGGAATAGTTCTTTGCTATTTTTGGTGATAAATCTTGAAAAATACCATACTAAATAAACACAGTGTATTGTGCTTGGGAAAATAAGTAGGAAATACGTCTAAAAGCCTGTATTTAAAAACAAATAAACACATTATTACTGTGTAAAAGCTGCAAGTTTCCTCATAGGGAAATTGTTTCAGTTTGGGTAATTCCATCAGGATTTTTCATAGATCTCTAGGGGCATACAGTCACAGGGGTTTAATGGTCTGCAAAAGATACTTACAAGCCGTTTTTTCCTCAAAGGGAAAGGCAGAAAAGAGCAAACGCACTGCATTGCTGGCATTACGAATTAACCACATACGAAGACTTTATAGATTCGTAGTGCAAAGTGTAGTTGTCCTTCATGTGTTCTCTGAGTCTCTGTCTTGGATTTTGACATGTCCCTGCCCTGAGCTGTACACGTGAATGAAGGCTCCATATGCAGTTTTTTTCTAGCACAGTTTGTCCTCACGTCAGCAGAACTGAATAAACTTTGGATAGTTCAGGAAACACTTGCAGTGACAAACATTTCTGAAAGTTTCTGTAAGGTTTTTGCTGGGAACCTGGTGCTGTGTTCTGGTGAGCAACTAATAGATGTGAAATGTTTTTTGAATTTGTTAAGTCTCTGTATGGATTCAGAGTATCTGCATATCTTTGGACAAACAAAAGCTAAAGGGTAACAACTGTGTAAGTAAGAATATGCAGTGTGAATCTTATCTAATCCAACTGTCTTTAGCAGGGACTATTCTGTTTTTTTTTATATGTTAGTCTCCAAAACATTAGCTAATCCTTTGGGAAATCCTCTGGGTAGCCTCCCAGTGTGTGCTTGCAGAGACCTTTGGGGCTCTGGCCCATTCTGCTGACCCCCTTTGACTGAAGAAGTACCTACACACTGCCATTGAGAGCAGCAGAAAAACAGAATAGAGCCAACATCCAGGATGACGTGGGTTTCTGTTTTGGTTTTCTGTTTGAATACTCTATGTTGGACTTTGTTTCTCAGATAATATAAAGCGAAATCATAGACAGAAATTGCGTTAGAATGAAATGGCTTTTCTTGAGAGAGGTTGAGTTCTATTTGCTATTGATAAATTCCCTGATGTAGGCATGGCAAGAAGAAAAGTATCTCTTATACTTTAGCATAATACTTTCAGTATTCTTTACTATCTCTTTCACTATCTTTTGAGGCACTTATTTGATTTTGGAATCAGTTTCTCCATCTTTCTATATACTTATTTCTTCAGCAGTATATTTCATTATTTCATGATACTATTTTAGTACTTGGATCTTAACCTCCAACCATTGTTCCTTCTGTGTCTCTATACCCACTTCTCCCCCAGGCCTTTTAACGTGATTTACAAAAGCCTCTCCGCTTGATTTGGTAATTTTCACACACATTTCCATGCTGCATGCTAGTTAGTTAGATCACTAGGGCATTCTGTGATTTTATTTCAGGTCTGGGCATCTTTGTCCTTGTTACTTTTCCTAGTGCTAAATCAAAGAACACCAATTGGTTCCACAGCCATTGTGTACAAACCCCTTGTATGTGACTCAAAGATACATATCTGTTTCTTAATTGTTGAGAGAATCAGATAAGTGTTTGTTTTTTGGTGGCTAGAAAGCTTCTTCTCCATGATCCAAGTCTGGGATTAATATCAGTCTTTGGAGAGCAAGATATGTGATGCACATTGCAATGTTAACGTGGTCAGAGCCATAAGGATGCATAATCGAGTATGCCAGATCCTAGCAGTTCCCCCCTGACTTTCTTTGACTCTGCTTGGTAGAAGAAAGCTGCAGTAAGAATGGGAAGAGGTGCTGTGTTCCCAGGTGTGCCCCTGGGGAGCAATGGTTTGGGAGCACAAAGTCATCAGACTCTGGGATCCCAGAAATGTGAGATGGGGCTGAGGAGCTTTTCCCTGCACTCGTGCTGTGTGGGTGGTCTTGACTGAGTGTTACAGCCTAATAAATTGCCTCTGATTTGGCCAGTTGCATGAGTTCCACTTGATGAATAAAGCATATCGCATTACTTCTGTTAGTAATATAAATACTCCACTACAACTGCACTCTGAGACAGTCTCAACCTGCCTGATGACAACCATTAAGAGGACCTCCCAAATACACATCTATAAATCTCATTCCATTTTGTGCCACGAAAAAAGAGTTGCACTAGACTCAAAGTAATTTAGTTCACTAGAGGAAGGTCAGAACTCTTAAGTTAGTATAGTACTCATGATGTAGGTTGTTTTTTGTTGTTGTTTTTTTTTTTTTTTTTTTGTAGTCTTCAGCAGTTAGAATGGTTAGAGTTGTATGATTACTATTTTTTTTCTAAACTTCTCAGCTTAGAATGTATATGCAAAATTCTACGAATGGGTGGAAGATTACTGCCCTAAAGCTAAGTTCATCGTGCTGATCTGTTTTCAGTTGACCCATTGTGCAGAAGGATTGCAGTCGAAAAGAGGTAGAGGTTGGATACTGTGCTAAGCATTTCTCTGAGCTAAGAAATATTGGCCAGGGAACCAGAAGTGTCTTCTCACTGGTCTGATTTTTGTAAGTTTTTTTTTCTGTCACTGGGAATTTCTTCAGTGTTGATCCTTTACAGTAGTGGTGATGCTGAGATCCTTTTGCATTTAATCTACTGTTATCCTTAGAGCAATGCTGTACAACACTACAGGACCTGAGGTACAGTATTTATTTTTTCTTTTAATTTGTATGTTCATTGCCACAGTGCAGAGGGATTCAGTTTGAGGTGAGCGATCTGTGGTCTCCACTCATGCACCTAGTTTGCATTGCATCTGTCCAGGGATTTAATTAATCATTGTTCTGTTGACTATGAAGCACTGAAGAAGTAAAAAAAAAAAAAAAAAAAAAAAAAACCAAGGTTTTTTTTTTGTCTTTACTGCCTCAGACAGGAAAATTATTTCCAATCTAAACAATTATTAATAAGTTAAAAATTTAATAATCACAGTCACATAGTGGGATTAGTTACGTCCCAGTTTAACTACAGATCTGTTTGGTGTGTGAAATAAAGCATTACATTTCATTTTAAAGGCAGACATATCAGTTACTTAATTAGGTTAAATTTAGCCAGGTTGACAGACAGATACAGTCCCAACTGTATCTTAAAGCAGAGAGAGAACAGTTTGTACTCTGCTATTATGTTTTCATAAGGTCAGCTTGTAAATAGTCATTTGAGAAAGAAGTGGTTGCTAGCTTAAGGGTAGCCTAGACAAAAACAGTTTCCTGTGGTCCAGCTCCAAACTTGTTGCTTAGTGTGCATTGGCTGAAATTTTGTTTGTTTTCATTCACTTTATTCAGTTTCCCAAATTTCTCCCTGTGATAATGAGCAACAGGTACCAGAAGCAGAAAAAAGGAAAAAAAATTTCTTTCTGATCCAGATAAGTTAAAGCAGAAGAAGGGTGTGAGGGGGAAAAAGTAGTAGAAAATCTTCCTGAAAGAAGTGTATTCTGTAACACTTTGCAACTGCACTGGATCCAAATGCAATAGGTGGGGAAGATACCTCTGCAAAATAAGGGTTTGGTACAATGTGTTACTGCAGTCCACCTCGTACTGCTTCATGGTACTGCCTGTGTGTTGTGGCAATTGAGATACCTCTTCAGAACAGCACTGTCACTTTAGCTGAGATGAACTCTCCTAAAAGACCCAGAATGATTTCTTGGGAAGTCATCTTCTACCTGCAGTTAGGAGGAATGTTTTGCTGTTGAAAAGTACCGTAAGAGATGAGGCCACGTCTTCTGACTTCTTGACTACTTTTAAGTTATTCAGTTCAATTGCTTGCGTTATAGTTTTGATTTTATTTTGTCTGCTTTAAACCTATGTTTTATGTCTTCACAGGCCTATTTTCGGACAGTAGAACTTGTTCAGGAGCCTATTCCTGGGTCTCCAGGTCTGAGTTTCTACTTCAAAATCAATGGCCAACCCATTTTCATGAAGGGCTCAAATTGGATTCCAGCAGATTCTTTCCAGGATAGAGTGACCTATGACACGTAAGCCACGTCTGATATTTTCTTAGGAGAAAGGATCACCATTACCTCTTCATGTTTGCCCTTCAAATGTTGACACTAGTGTGGGTGGACTCCTTTCAAGATAGGTGTAATGCAATAGAAAGTGCAGCTATGACAGCAGAGCAGCAAGGTCCCAGGCTGCAGCAAGTGAGGATTCACTCAGAGGCAACAGCTGTGGGCACAGAAAGGAAAGAAGCTGCTTACCTTCAGAAGGCCTCAGATATGCAGAGATCTCCAGCAAGATACTCTTGCCTCTACTGCCAATTCTTAAATGAGATCTGGGAAGGAGTGGATCCTGACTCTGCCCCTTCCAGTCACTCAGGTGTGTTGCATGCAACTGAGTGCCCCTGGATTGGCCCTGCCTTCCTAGCAGGTGCTCAATCACTGTTTCAAGCCATGACTTAGCATTTTTGCTGCAGTGGAACACAAATTGCTGGGGCTAACGCTCTCAGAATTAAGACTTAACACTGCAAGATCTGAATGTTGTTCAATGCTAGTAAGTGCAATAGCTGATGGTAGAATGGTTATATGCTGTCCACAGGTTACTGGCCTTTCTGACATTTTTTAAAATAATCCTCAGGCTATCTGTTCCTATTGCCTGGAATGTACTCGTTGACACTGACAGGAAGAGCACTTAAGCCATGTTCCAAACTTCCTAATGCAGGGATGGAGAAATGCACAGAAGTCTCACTCTTCCCTGTTTGGTCTGCTCTTGGATTTTGCTGATATGGCACGCAAGAAGTGGGATGGAGGGCATGCTATATTTTGACTAGCTTTGTTAATAACATACAGTATTTCCACACGTTGTTCTGCCAGTACTTAAAAAGGACTTACGTAAGTTACTCCAGAAGTAATGCCATCTATTTATTTCCATGAAAACTACAATACATACAAAGCACAATAACGCTATTTGATAGAGAAAATCCTCAACTATGAAATATTCTTTTTCAGCATAAACACCACCAGTAATTATGCGTTTTCACCAGCAATGAAAAGGAGCCTGCATGTTGTGCTCATAAAAAATCTGTACCAGCAGAAGTGACCCTTTGTCTCTTGCCACTGCTGAAACACACCACCCACCACCTCACTGTGCTCACATCTGCTGTTTGGTCTCCATAAATGTTCAGCAAGCATTGATGAATTTCAGTGGGTGCAATTTTTTCTGCATGGGAGGAAGTCAGTGATACACCTTTGCTTCACATGCACTTCCATATCAGGTTCCAGGTTGTCAGTCTGCCCCTCTGCTGCCATCTGTTGCACAGCAACAAAATGGAATACTGGTGGGAAGGTTCAACCTCTACTGCCATACCACTACTATCTGCCCCTGACATTGTGGTCAACATAATGAAATAGGAGGCATTACTGGTACAGCAGCCCTCGTGCAGCTGACACTTCATCTATTTTGTGTTTACAGGACCAAGTAATTTTGTTTACACAAAAAATTGCTTTTTGAGATCTCTCTCCAGACATGCAGGATTAGAAGGTATCAAAATAGACTGGCTTCTGTCTGAATTACTTGATTGCTTTTCGAAGATGAATGTTTGAGATTTTTTTGTGATATAACCTTAGAAACTGCTATGAAGGTTGTGTAAATCTTATTGTATTTGACAGATTATGGCTACTCTTGAAGTCTGCAGCAGATGCTAACATGAATGCACTCAGGATTTGGGGAGGAGGAATATATGAACAAGATGATTTCTACGACATTTGCGATGAACTGGGAATAATGGTAAAAAAATAATAATACAGGCTGTGTATTTGGAAATATGAGCTTGTAAATAAAAGTCTACTGTATATGAGTCATATAAGAGAATTTGACACAAGTTCTAACCATCTTTCCAAAGGATACATGGTGGAGTACCAATCTGAGAAGTTGAATCAATCTTCTATATGTATATATGGATGTACACAACTTACAGATAAAACCTTCGTATGTGTGTATATATATGTATATATATATAAAATTTATTTTTGTAAATATATATATTTTTAACTTCTTGCTCATTACTGAGGCTGTCTGAAACTGGAAGTGATGTTTTGGACTGTTTATATTAGCTTGTATTTTCCAATTAAGGCTACAAATCTGCGGCCTTCATTTTTTTTATTCTGCCACCCTTCTCTACCCAGAGTCTCACTTTGGTCTTCCTTTTCTCCCTGCTGTCTCTGTTTTTCTGCTCTTACATTCCCAGGAATCTGAGCTAGAGGCTTGTGCCTTGAACTCTCCATCTTCTGTTCAGACCCAGACTCTCCAACCTGCTCCAGTTCTACATTTTCTATTCTCTTGGGAAGGAATGAGAGAAAGAAATGAATGTCTGAGTAACTGGTGTTAGTGCTGTTACTTAATGCAGAAAGTAAACATTTATACTGTGTTGATGTGCACTATATAAGAACTTCTGTGGATTACTGTCCTGGAGTGGGCATCAATAGGGGCTTGCAACAATTAGCTGTGAAACAAATACGTATGGGTGGGGGATTACTCACAAACTCAAATGGTAGTTCTGCCACAGCTGTGGGCCTCTGTAGCTGTGATTAGGAACTTACTCATGTGAGAATAGCTCTGCTGAAAAACTTGAGTACTTCAGTATATGCCCCAGTTTGAAAGCAGAGACCTTGGAATCAGATCACTGTGAGAATTTAGGGTCTAATCTGTTTAACTTCTGTGCTTGCTTCTGAGTAATCAAAACATCAAAGAAAGTAGTCGTGTTTTTCTCTGCTCGGGAAATGAACGAAAATTTGGTTGGTTGTTTTTCTTTTTTCTTTTACTCAATTTTCTTTTTTAAATTTCATCTGGCCTGCATGGTAGACTTTATCTAAAGGGCCCTTTTGAACAAACTATAATTGAATGTAAATATAGCTGTAAGGGAACACCTGCTGTAAACATTGATAATTTTAGATGAGTATCTTTTGATTATATGAGTTTGGAGATAAATGATAATAAGCTTTGATGAAATAGGGACTACATGAGTGAAGACTGAATTGCACCAGGTATTAAAATCCCAAGAAGCGCATTTGGTCTTTGCAGCAGTGAAGAGCAGAGAAACAAAATTGGTACCTTGCTGCCTTCTGCTTTATGTGCTTGCCAAAAAAAAAAAAAAAAAAAGTCATCTGAATGTGTGCCTTGATTTTCAAGGCTTCTGAGCACTTGCAGTTCTTTCATTTTTGACACTAGAAATCTAAGTAGGCCATATAGATCTGTGCCTGGGCAATGCTCAATGCAAGAAGTAGATCTTATTCAGCACTGAGAATAGCAAATAGATACAGAAAATCAGATCCTTATTCTGGTGTGGGGTTATGCTGGAGGACTTTAGTTTTACTCCTTCTTGCAAAGACTTAAAAGAGCATTAGAGTCAAACTGTGTGTAAGGAGAAACAGTGATGGCTCACTGAAGGAAACAACAGGAGAAGTAAATTTGGTACAGAGAATTTTGATACCACAGTCACTGAAAGGTTCTTAGTAATTCTTCAGCAATAGCCTTGCTTTTTCTTAGAGTGTTAGACTGGAACAATTATTAATAGATCTATTGCACGCATTTTTGTGGGAAACAGGGAAAAGTAATGGCAAAATATGTCATCACAAGGAGAACAATTTAATGAGAAGCAGGGCTGGCTCTCACTGTTATTTATGTAGAATGACGTTCAGAAAACTGTAGTTTGTTGGAAAGGACTCACTATATCGATAAGCTCTTTCAAGCTTTTCATTTGAGATAGGTTATCAGGAGTTTAATTTATGACACTTAAAAATGAAATACAGGACAGATAGATCAAGAAATCCTGCCCATCTCACTGGGCTTCTTCCTTTCAATTTTTTTGTAATTCTTCTTTAAGTTACAACTGAAGGAGTTTGTTGTTCTCCAGTGTTGTTCTCAAGATATCTGCCTGATCTTTAAAGGAAGAGATCACCAGCTCTTAAACTAGATTCTTTGTTTCTGCCTCACTGAGCACAATTTGCTCTTTTTAAGATCAGTCTGTGCGTTTGTTGTGGAAGCATTGTGTTACAAAATGTACTTGAAGACCTGTTAAATGTTCTTGGTACCACATCACAAGAATTACTTTCTTCTTTTAGTAAGTAATGTGGATTTGGTGTTACACATGGAAAGCATTAAATTTGAAATTGCTCTGTTCAGCTGGAGGCTCCCTCATGGTCATAGCTGAACAGAGCATGGATTCTAATTATTCTGTTGAATCCTATTGAAATCCTTCTTATTGAGAAATACTCTACTTGTCAGTGAAGGCTGTCAGAATCTACTTTCTAAGGGTGAATATTTTGTAAGTCCTTATATTGAAGAAAACCACATTTGAGTATGATCATGATGAACGCCACGGAGAGTGTGGTTGTTTTGGTGATGCTTTTCAAGAACAACAGATACGTTTCAGTTTGATTCTCTTTTAGATAAATAACTTCTGTTTTGGGAAAGTATTTTGCATCCCAGTAAGCATCTGTTTTTCAAATATGAAAAATGATTTACTAACAGATTATTTTGTATTTTCTTTCCTATTTCTCATAGATTTGGCAGGATTTTATGTTCGCATGTGCCCTGTATCCAACAGACCAGGATTACTTGGAATCAGTAAGAGCAGAAGTTTCTCATCAGGTATTTTGTCCATGTGATCATAACCTAGTATTGACTGAGAGAATAATTTATGAGGGCTGCTCCAAAAGTAATTCCTCCTCATTATGTTGGCCCATGACATCAGAAGTGGATGTTGGTGGTATGGTAGTAGAGATGGAACCTTCCTGCCAATATTCTGTTAAATTTTGTTACCGAGTAGCAGATGGCAGCAGAGAGGCAGTCTGATAGTATGACACTTGACATGGAAGTATGTATAAAGCAAAGGTGTATCACTGAATTCCTCAATGTAGAAAAAATTATACCTGGTGACATTCAATGATGCTTGTTGAATGTTTAATGGAGGCCAAGCAGTGGGTGAGAGCACAGGGAGGTGGTAGATGGTGTCTTTTGCATTGCTGTCTCACCACTGCTGAAACACAAGTCACGTTCCAGCTGGCCTTGCAGATTTTTACAAGTGCAGCATGCAGGCTCTTGTTCATCACTAGTGAAAATGCACAGCAACTGGTAGTGACTCTGTTGAAAAAGAGTGTTTTGTAGCTGAGAATTTGCCCTATTAAATGGTATTAATGTGCTCTTTGTATCTGTTTTATTTTCAGTGAAAGTAAATAGGAGGCATTATGTTCAGAGGGACCTACACGTTATCCTAGAAATGCTTATTTGAAAATATTTGTTAGTGTGCATTTAAATAGCAGACACAAAATGTAACCATGCTCTTTAACTTGCTTCTGGTAGTGAGGCAGAGGTATAGGTCTTCCTTGTGTCCAAACTGCTCTCGAGGATGTTTAGTGTGAGCTCCAGTGATATTGACTTGTCTTAGCACAGAATTTACCCTTCATATGTGGCTGAACAGATGGGGATAGAACTACGTGTGCATGGTGGATGTGTGCTGGGATACTAAGTATACAAAAGTCTGGGTCTGATCTGGAACTGGCGGAAAAGTGGACGCACTGGATAAAAACATGGAACTTGTAGGCGTAGTATTTGTAATGTGCATGTGAACTTGTAATTAAAGTAGTAACAAATAGATTATTATTTGTTTTTATTTTTTAAGATAAATTGTTTTCCTTGACTTCTGAAACTGAATTGTTTTTCAGGTAAGGCGGTTAAAATCCCATCCATCGGTTGTTCTGTGGAGTGGTAACAATGAAAATGAAGCAGCAATTGCAAGTAACTGGTTCTCCATACCACATGCTGACAGAGAAGTCTATATCAAAGATTACGTGATGCTTTATGTGAAGAACATCAGAGAAATAGTTCTTGCTGTAAGTGATTTCAAGAAAAAGGGGGGGGATGTGACTTGGCAAAATGATGTAATATTTGCAATTTGAGCTACTTGGGATTTCTCTGCTTTTGTGTAGTTTTTTTCTTCTTTTGTTTAAATAATCTTTGAAAATGAAAAAGAGCATGCTGTTGAGGAACTGCACTTTCCTCGCTTGTGTAAGCTACTCTTTAAAATCAACAGTCATCCTCAAAACAAAACAAAAAATTGTTTTTGTCTTTACTGTCCTGTGATATGTAAAGATGACCTGAAAATGTAGATGATTTTGCCTCCTTTTCCTTTCCTATTAAGTGTGCTCCACAAATGCCTTCACTTGCAGTGGAGATAAATCAACTTGCCCATTAATTAATCAAGATGATCGATTTCCTTTGTCTTGACTTTGTTGATACATGCTGTAAGATGGATTAACAACCCTCAATCTTTTAATTGCAGTTGAAGAAATTTGTGAAAATAATATTCCAAGTATGTGACTGGAGTGTTTGGCTGAAGCAGGTTAAACAAAAGCTGTGCCAAACTTTGTCCTTCTCATGTTCTTTGGTCATTATTTTGTTTTTGTCGTACGTGGCTTTTAGGGTTTTTTTTATTTGTTTTGAACAAACTGATGATGTTTTACAGTATACAGAAACTAAATAGTTCAGATAAGACTTAAACTATGAACATGCTGACCAGAGGCATCTGAAATCAATAATGATATCTATTGTGATGTGGCATTGCTCATTTTGCACAGTTCTTGTAGAGTTGTTTCTTCTTTATTGGAAGTACTGCAGCTCATTACTTCATAGAATCTACTTTCAACTAACTTTTGTTTGCATATGTGGGGTAAAATTGATTCGGAAGTCCCAAATCGATGCTGCACAACTGTATAGGGATTATAAATGATCCTTGAACCATGGATGAGTATTCTTAAATCCCCTTTTAGCTAAGAGGCATGCAGAATGATTAAAATGCAAGAGCTTTGCCTGGCTAGTGAACAAGTAAATGTGAGTTTTGTGTTAACCTAAAAATGTTAATGGTCTTTTCTTAACCCAGTTATCCAGCATGATGTTACTGTCTTCAAGATATGATAATGCTAGTCTCTGTCATTTTCAGGATGAGATGCATTTTATGTTATGGGGGCTTCATGATCTAAATTTTCCCTTGCACTGAGCTAAGCAGTCAGCGATCAGTATGTACGTGACAGTGATGTTATTGCTTATTATTAGAGGCTATTCACATTGTCAGAGCAGTTGTACTCTGGTATTCATGATATCTTTCTGCTGGAAAGGTGTAGAAAAAGGGAAATAGTGAAAATGAGGTAGAGGAGTGAAAGAACATGCCAGAAAGGATCTGCTCTTGAGAAGTTGTACATTCTAAGTATAATGGTGTCTTACAATCAAAATGTTAAGCGGAAATATAGATGTTTGTATTTCTTAGTTTCTTTGAGCTGAGAGGTTGTGTACAGGTATGCTGTGGTGTTTCTGTGATTGGCTGTGTGACTTGGATGGCCAGTGTGCATACCACAGGGTGAAGTATTCTGGCTTGTGATAATATTTTTTAGTTACAGTCCACTTGTGTGTTATTTTGTCGAGCCTGGACACTCCTTTATTTTGAACCCATAGATTAACTATTTTGAGTGTCAGAAGGAACTGTACCAGTTAAGTGATTTTAGATTCTGTAAAATACACCTCTGCTACGAAAACAGTCTACAAGAGCTGGGGCTGATCAGTCTGGAGAAGAGAAGGCTCCAGGGAGACCTGGTGGTGGCCTTTTGGTATCTAAAGGGGAGCTACAGCAAAGAAAGCAACAGATTATTGAGCGGAGTTGGTTGTGATAGGACAAGGGGAAATGGTTTCAAACTTAAAGGGGGGAGATTTAGGTTGAATAAAAGGAAAAAGCGAAGGTGATGAGGCACTGGAACAGGCTACCCAGAGATGTGGTGGAAGCCCTGTCCGTGGAGACGTTCAAGGCCAAGCTGCCTCTGAGCAATGTGACTTAGCTGTGCATGTCCCTGTTCACTGCAGGGGAGCTGGACTAGATTAAGAGTCCCTTCCAACTCAAACAATTCTATGATAATGTAAACCAACTGAGGAAATCTGTAACTGTTGGCAGAACAGGACTGTATCACTTAAAAGACTTCTAAGTCTAAGCTAAAGACTTTGGGGAATCTAAGGTATCCTGTAACAAATTGTACTTCAGTTAGTTGTTAATCACTCACATCCAAAATATTGGAGCGGGATGGCTCTATTCTTTCTTAAAATGAAGCATGTATCAACACAGCTTTACTGTGTTGGAGCCAGTTGCTGTAATCTGTGACTGTGGTAATTCAGGCCTCTGTCTTACAAGTAGAGTGAAAAATGAATTATACGTGCAGAACAATTCCTACAGTGCTTTGTAGAGTACAGATAAAAGATATTGTACACTAAATCTGCTGAGGTTATAAATAAATGCTGCACTGAATAATCCTAAATGTAACTCCTGGTATAGTCTTGTCTACTTTGATGTGTTGAGTCAGCAATGGTGACAATAACCTGCAATGCTACTGTGCAGTCATTGGTAGCAGAGTATCTTAGTTTTGTTGAGACTAAATTTAGGTGACTACTTAACAAAGGGGGAAAAATCATGGTGATATTGCTCCAAAAGCACAATAAAAGTAATGATTTACATAAAGAGGTCACAGTTCTCAAATATTAATGTTCTTTGGGTTTATTTTTCATGAGACGTACTTTTAAATAGCTTTCATTAAGAATTTAGAAGTGTATGAAGATAGCAAATCTCTTGATGTGAGGAAAAGAATCCCTTAGAACAGTAGAGCAGGCAATATCGTGCCTAACTGTCTTCCAGGAGGAGGAATAAGAAGCTAATTAAGCTAGTAAAGATGATGACTGTCACAAAGAGGATTGTTTCCTAAGTGGTGACTCAGAAATTTGGAAAAATCTTGTTCTTCTTTGCCCTCTTCCTTTTCAGTATACATTCCAGATATTCAGATGATAAAAACCAATCATTTTATAAGGAGTAGTGGTGATGTTTTTGGGTTTTTTTTCTAATTACAGGAAGATAAAAGTCGTCCTTTTGTTGTATCCAGTCCTACCAATGGTTTGGAGTCAATTAAAGAGGGCTGGCTCGCTGAAAATCCTTACGACACGCATTATGGTGACACTCACTTTTATGACTACAGCAGTGACTGCTGGAACTGGTCAGTGTATCCTAGAACTCGTTTTGCTTCAGAATATGGATTTCAATCCTGGCCATCTTTCAGTACGCTGGAAAAGGTAAGGCTGATCTTCTGAACCTTATTATTCCCTCTGCTCTCGTTTAGTGGGGGTAGTGAATCTCTTTCCAAAAAATCATGACTGCAGCTGGGATAATGCAGTGTGAGGTGTGGTACATGGCAGGTGGGATAGAAGTGTGGTGCTGTGGAGGGAGGGAAGAAACTGGATTGTATCCTTCCAGTGGTTGAAAAATTTGCCTTGTCATTGCAAGAAAAAAAAAACAAGTTTAATGCAATTAAGGGTGTTTATTACGTCTGCCATGATAGGAACACTAGGAAACAGTCTTGATTATTTTTATAATTAAATGAATTTTAAAAATTATTTTCTGTTCAGAACCAGTAACTGGCACTTTCCACCATTTGAAGAGCCCAAGAATCTTGTATAGATTAAAATGTTAAGTTGCTGCCCAACCCTGGCTACTAGCTTAATTCCAAGTGGACTTGTCTTTCAGGTCCTTCTTCCCTTGGGTATGATCTATAAAATATAAGCAGTGTTATCACTCATATTGAAACATAGGTGGCTGTGCCTGATAAATGGAGAATGTTATGTGACTATTAATTTTAATATTAATTCTTTTTAATATATAGCTTAGTGATGATTGCCTAGCATATTTCTGTGGCTGTGTTGAAGGTCCATTTAAAAATACCAAAACCACAATCAGTGCTGATTTGTGCTGAATTTTCATTGCTTTTACCAACTTATTTGCTAATATTCAATACGTAAAGAAAAAAAATATTGGAGAGGGTTTGGTTTTGTCTCCTATTAAATCAAGATACTGTATATTGTTTGATTTTCTTTTTTCTAGTTCAAACAGAGATGCATCGTCCTGTTTTTCTGTCCATTTGTTCAGACATGAATATCATGTTGGTATGCATGCATCTGAAAGGAGTTCAAAATGTTCCTTTCAGTTTTCTGAGTTCAGTATATTATCTGAGACATAATCAGTATGATCATCCATATGAACAAAAATGAAAAATTTTAACTCAGTCTGACCTACAGTAGAACAAATTTAAATAAAAGATGTTACAGAAATTGTAATTATGATAAAAACTTAACAGTAGTAGCTGTATGAGCTATAAGGGATTGTTATCCTTAGCTGAAAAAAAAAACAACCAACTGTTTCATGTTCATTTGTTTCCAGAGGCAGATTATTGTAGCAGGTTTTGAATGTATATTACTAGAATTTATAGCCCTGCTAGCTTTTGATATTTATTAGCCTGGAAGGAATATGGCTTCTTACTTTCAAACATACTAAATGTGCAACTTTATGCCTACGTGTATTTGACTAGAGTACATTCTTTCATCTCAATTAAGTGTTTCTGATTTACTGTGAACCCAAACAAACCATTGAGGTCCTGTGGTCAAATTCAGTCGTAGGACAAATAACTGTCATGCTCCTGAGCCTTTTGAGCAGGTTCAAAAACACTATTTTCAGGTGTTTGTACAAAGGGTATGAGCAAACGGTGTTACTGACTAAAAATTCTTGCTTCACTGCATGAGGTGCTCTAAAAATGCATTGCCCTCTTTAATAATTTTGAGTGATGCCAGCAGACTGTAACAGATATCTTTTCCTGAATAACCTGTCAGTCATCATTCAAATATTTTACTTATGTTTTTAAAAGGTTTCCTCTGCTGAGGACTGGTCATACACGAGCAATTTCTCTCTCCATCGACAACACCATGAAAATGGCAATGACCAAATGCTTCAGCAGATTGGATATCATTTCAAGCTTCCCCTGAGCACAGATCCCATAAAAAAGTTTAAAGATATGATTTACCTCACTCAGGTAAAAGTGGTATCTTCAGTATAAGTAGCTGTTCGAATAGTCGCTATTAGTAGTTGAAATTGGACCTGTTGAATCTGTTAGGTAATGTTCAGTCACACAGAAACAGTTTCTGCACTGGAGTATTGGAGAGTCCAGTATAATTTGGAACAGGCTTGTCTCTCATTTGCTGTAGAGAATACAGTTTTCATCAAAGAAGATCTGGAATACTTCTTAGAGAATTTTGCAGAAACTGGCTTAGTCAGGAGAAAGTCAGATGCGTGTCTATCTTGATCTCTGTCCTCTGCAAGGCGCACTTACATTGCTGGCTGGGGATGTAGGGACATTCTGCTCTTTTTTTGGTAGACAACTCTGCCTGGGACTACTCTGTGTTATTCTTCGTATGCTTTGCTTTTCATGTGGCCCACGGGGATGTATTGCTTCTATTTTTGCCATAAGGAATACATTAGCTTTTGAAACAAAATTATTTGTAGAGGCTGTAGTTGTCTGTGTGATCATCAGTAGCTTTTATTTTGTTGCTGTCTCAAATATTAATGCTTTTTTTTCTTTTTTTTAATCAGTGGATTATATTTTGCTTTTCATCTGAAGTAGTTTTGCCTCACACTTGCTTTTTTCCTTGCAATTTCTTTGTGACTTACAAATGATATTATTAAGTTTAAAGTGCTGTTACTTTTTTGTTGTGTTCCAAGAATTTCAGAAATGCTCTTGATGGGAATAACTGGATTTGACAAAGTTTTTGATGTTTGAGAGCTGCTGTCAGCAAGTTTTATATAAAACTGAAACAGCTGGAGAGCTTTAAGCACTGCTGACAAGAGAACAAGGATAGATGATGTTGTGAAATTGAAAGCAGGGGTGAAACTTGCACAGTGAGGTCCTGACTCAGAAAGCTATGGGAGTTTCTGCAGGGTGAAATCTGTAGCAGCTTTACTAAGAAGTTAAACAATTTAAGAACACCAGAATTGCAAAAATGACAAGGAGAATAAAGTTGGCTATCACAGTTAACTGGAAGTGTAATGTTTATTCTTTAGGACAGCTCAAAGGTAACTTTTTCCTTCATTTTGTGACTTCTTTAATAAGTCCCCATCCTAATTATAATACTCTTTGTGATGAAAATAACCGGCTATTTAGCTTCTATTGAGAACGTGGCCAATGCAAAATTATTGAGAGTGTTTTTTAAAGATCAGATGGGGAAGCTGGGAAGAAACATGAATGCAGCTGAGAAAAGATTGCTCTTTGGGTGCACAGTTTTGAATGTATAATGGGAATTTGTGCTTGAAAGTATGTGTTGCTACTGTGAAGTCTGTGTTAATTGAGTAAATACACACATTTTGAAAGTAAGGTATAGTAAAATAACTGATTTTTTAATGTATTTGACTCAAGGTGATGCAGGCTCAGTGCGTTAAGACAGAAACTGAATTCTATCGTTCCAGTCGAAGTGAAATAATCAAGGGAGAAGGACACACAATGGGCTCTCTGTATTGGCAACTCAATGACATCTGGCAGGCACCTTCATGGTCTTCCTTGGGTAAGTTTTGCAGCAGTCTGATAAAATGTACCAGCCAGTCTTTGGTTTCCTCAAGTGGAAATATCAGAATAAGAAGTAAGGCTCTGCAGTCTCTCTTGGGTGACTTGGCACACTTTGTTTCTGACCATCTTTTAGAAGTGCTTTCCAGAAGAGTGTTTTATAGAATCATCCTACAAGTCTGCCAGAGAGGATAAGGAAAGGAGCAATTCCTTTACTACGGATGTTTTGCAATTGAAGTTCGGATTTAGTAGCCACCAACTCATAACCATGTTCTAGAAGGGTTTAGCTTAGAGAATTTAAAATCGTATGTAACTCCTAATTCTTGAAAACATGTTTTTCGCACTTCTCCAAAGGAAATAAGGAAATGAAGACAGATAAAGCTGTCTACTAGGAAACAGTGATGATTAAGATTAGGGGTGCAGCCTCATTTTCCAGACAAATTATGCTTTTTTTTTTTTTTTTCCCTTCAAAATTTTTTTTTCATAGAACTTCATATGACACCTCTCACCAGCATATAACTTCTGAAAAGTTCTTTGCTTAGAGGAAGATAACTGGCTGAGGTTTGGTTTCTAATTTAATGTCAGGTGAGTTGAATCTCACTTTCTGACTAAATTATTCTGTTAATATGCTATTTAGCTAAACTACATGTGGTATCTCCTTTTATTCTTTATAATACATATTCTTTTTAGCACACTAGAGTAGAGTAAGGAGGCATATGAAGAGGTAAGGAATACCTCTTCATATAAATAAGGAATAAGGAAGGAACGTGTGGTAGGAGAGAAGTGGTATGAGAGAAGTGGCTGTGTTTCATATTTTGAATATTTTGTCTGGAAGTCATTTTGAAATGGAGGTGCTGTTCAATGACAGTTAAATAGGACTTTTTTTAAATAGGAATTTTTTTTTTTTTCAATTTTAATTATTTGTCAAATATTCTGTTTTTGAAAATATTTCCTTAAAAATTTTGTGTGTGGTGAAATAAGAACGGACTAGAAAAACCTAGGAGGTAGTGTGAAGTTCTCAATCTGTCCTTAGAAAAAAATGCCATTTGGCCTTGTTTCAGGAACTTAGCTTACCCCACCTTCCCTGTCTTATTTTTAGTTCACTGGGAGTCATTTGTACCTCTCACTTTTTAGTATTCATCTAGTCAAAGGAACAACTGTGAACAGCAAAAAACAAAGCAGTACAAGTAGCAGACTATTTTATTTACAGGGGTCCAACTATAACGTTCTTATTTCTGGACTTATGTGAGGAAAGAGAATATCATAACACTCACTTCTGTGATTCTAGCAATGACTATTCTTAGACTTTCAATGAAGATTCAGAATGAAGAGAGATGCTTGAAAAAATATCTTTTTATAAAGACAGAGGTATATTGATAGATGAAGTGATTGTGAAGACCATAAATATGTATTTTCAAGTACAGAGCTGATGTCATTGTAGAAAGTGCATCAAATACTTGAATTATTCATGTGTTGTTGAAGTTAGTTTACAGAAAGGAAGCTCAGCAAAGAAGCAGCTGTCCCTTTGTTTTGCTCTATTTCCTCAGTGGAAATGAGGAAAGGTTTAATATTCATTTAATTAGGCAGTGTAGTAGAGGGATTTTTTGAAATGCTAATAGCTGAAATTATGCAAAACTTCAGATAAATTAGTTTTATTTGCACTTCAAAAACGTGTTTCTGTGTCTTGGCACAGTGGTATCACCAAAGTGCCTCTTAAATCTGTTATTTCACAGAGTCCCATGGAAGTGGTTGTATAATTTCCTGTACCAAGTGGAAATGTTTCCTTGTGAAATGGGGAGCAGATATCACATTTCAACTCACCTTCCTGATGTTTACTTGGAATAAAATGAAAACAGTGCAGTATTTCTATCTACTGTTCAGAATTTAACAAGTTGTACTACAACTGGGTTTTATTTGTTAGCACCTGTTTGTGAAACCCTTTGTGCCACATTGACTGCTTCAGCATGTGTGTTGTGTGTTTTGAAGAGTGCTGTGACAGACACAGCAATTTATCACCCTACCCCACAACTGTCACCTTAAGGTACCCAACTCAGTTGTCATGAGATTCCCTTGAAGAGAGAACTGGCTTTTATTGCAGGTTCAATATTCAAAGCCCTTGCTGACACCATAAGCTATTATGGAGAGTAATAGATTTGAATTTGTGAGAGTGATGTGAGAGAAGAACTACCTGCGTGCTTATCAGGTTGCATTCAGTGATGTGATTAATTGAAAATCTGTTCCAGGGAGAAGATCTGCTTGTTCTCACTCCTGCTATGAGTGTAGATAATTTCTGGGAACAGCCAGAAAAGGCTGGTGACATCTCTTTGCAAACCTAATTTTTATTTCCTTTTCTGAAGTTCGGTATTACGAAGAGTGCAGATCCATGTTATTACCAAGAAAAAACAATGGGAAACTTGGATTTCTTCAAGAATCCATTGAAATGTTGAGGGAGGAGTAGGAGGAGGAAAAAAATACCCCAGGGCTGTTTTAACTAATTTTGGACTGTTACCTTTGTTATGCATACCTGAAACAGGAAGGTTTAAACCTCAAAATATCTCAGGATAGCTACTTAATGTCTAGATTTCTGGCATTCATTTTTGGAGCGGGAGGAGTATTTTACACACAACTTGCCTAATTTTTAAATCAAGAAACTGACTCTGTGATGAGCTGAAAAGTGTGATTTTTTTTTTTTCTATCAGTGAGCTTCTCTGCTGTCTGAAGTTACTTTGACAGTGGTATTATTGAGATCCTACTACTGGAAGTAGTCTCTTTCTGTGTGAACCTGCTCCAGTAGTCTAGATTTGTTCATCAAGTGGCTGTAGTCTTTTTTGGGAAAGGATATATCAACCTTAGCAAGCTAATCTCAGGTAAGCAGACTAATGTTTGCAAACAGCTTAAAACAAATAGCTATAGTAGTTGAACCCTAGAATGAGTTTTGATGTGACAAAAATTTTTAAGTGTGTGGCTTGTTTGCGTTGTTTGCTGATTGAGGAGTTTTTTTGGTTTGCTTGGTTGTTTTCTTCTTGCAAAGGTATAATGCTGTATTGTTTTCTCCACAGTACAGGTTATCTAAGGATCTTTGTAGTTGCTGCCTAGGTAGAGAACCTGTTTTTCCCTTCAGTAGCTACTAAAATGTGGTTACATAAAGAAAATCAGTCAGGAATCAAGGTACAGGGGAAATGGATGGCCTGGCCCAATAGAGGATAAATAGAAATTTATATTATGCTAAGTTACAGAAACTGCTCTACTTCAATTTTTTTGTACTTAAGATAAGCAGAAGTCTAGATTTTCATCATGTAAATTAAACTGAAGAAAAAGTTCAAGTTAGCAGGCAATGGAAACCTCAACCTATTTTGGGTGTCTTGTCTGTGCTCACGGGGGGTTCTCCTCCAGTCAGAGGACTGAGGCCTACAATGGAAAGCTTCTGTTGCATGACAGTTGGAATTCCTGAAAGTCTTGTGGCAGTCCTGAAGATTTCTGAGATTTCAGACCCTCCCTGGGCCTGGGCTTGGGTGCAGTGCTCATTTCTCATGCAAGGACAGCTCCTGTTATTTTTCAGATAAGATACTGGCTCATAGTTTGGTGTGTTTTAGGTAAGCTGTTCCCAGTCCAAATCTCTCATCTCCTCAAGCTTTATGGCCCAAAAGAATAATTTGTTTGCACTCCTTGGTTTTGGAGGAATCGCGCTTTAGACCAGCAGTGCTTTCTATCAGGAGTTGTCCTCAGAATGAAACAACATGGCTTTGTTCATGTGCTGAGTGGCACCAATTTGCTCACTATGTTCAGTGCAGCAAACTGCCTGTTTTGAAGAAACTGTACAACCTCTCCTAATATAATTTTTCAGGCTTTGTCTCTCCAGTTTGCCTCAGTACAATTAGCATGAATGCCAGTGTTATTTTGTTGGCAACAGTCTGATCTTATAACACAGTTCAGTTTTATATGAATTTTCCAGGCAGAGTCAAGTTTTCTTGTCTGTTCACCCATCTAGCTGACTGTGAGCTTGCTTAAAACGAGGTGCAGGGTACTGAGCTGCAGCTAATGCACTTTGTTCTCCATGAAGTTCATTCATGTCTGTATGAAGTGCAGGCTGAGCATGTTCAGGTCTGCCTATGAAAGCCACAAACACACCCTTTCAAGATCTACGTTACTCTGGATGTGAGGTCCTTAATTGCAAAGTGTTTACAAGCAAAAAAACACCAGTGTTACTGGAAATACTTCTCCAGCATCCCTGAACTTTAAACCTGCTGTATGAAACAAAGAACAGGGGGAGGGATGGGGTGGAAGTAGATGTCTAAGTTATTATTATTATTTTTTTTTTTAAATGAGAAAATGGATCTGACTCGCTGCTTTTAGTGCTATTTCAAAAACAGTTGAGCAAAGAGAATGAAAATGTTGATAGAGGATACAAGGTAGGAAATAAATAGAGAAAGAACTATTTCAAAATGTTTGTGTAGCAGTGTTTCATCTGGCAAAGTTACTCTTTTTGGAGAGGAGATAGAGTTTATCTGTTAATGATAGACCATCAATATTAAAAGTAATGAGGTATAGTTTTCCTTTCAATAGGTGAAGCAAACTGTCTTATCTACAGCATGTCTTCAGTAAATCCCATACAGTGAGCTTTATTTCTAGACCTTGTCAAATTCATTTTGCCAAACTTGGAGCTGTCCTTGGTTTGAATACTTGGGCTTCATTGCTCCTGGTCTTTTAGGGGAGAACTGAGAAAAAGGGAAGAGATTAGGCAGGCCATTGTGTCCGTCTCCTTGCAATGGTGGGTGTTGGTGGCAGTGCCACTAATGCCTGTGTCTTTGGCTGTATTCTCAACAGCATAGAGGGTCTAGCTGCATGCTTAACATGAACTATGCTGTGTCAGTTATGTTAAGGTCTCTCGTTTGAGGCTTTCCTTTATTGAATGACAGTGTGTCAGTGGTAGGACTAATTTTTTTTTTTTTTTTTTTAATTTGACTTTGTGGCAAAGCTCAAAAAAAAAAAAAATCTTTCAAGAGCATCAAATTTATTCCAGAGGAGAACCATGCCTGGAAGAAAACAAGATTAACTTCAGTCATTCTCTATGCATGATAGGGTGAAAAGGACTGGAGGGGACATTATTCCGTTAAAGCAGCACCTGAGAGCACAGGAAGCTGTTGTGTGCCAAGGTAAAGTTGGATTTTGTCTGAATCTTTTCTCCCTTTTAATCCTTTCCCAGAGTATGGTGGAAAGTGGAAACTGCTCCATTATTTTGCCCAAAACTTCTTTTCCCCACTGCTGCCTGTGGCCTATGAAGATAACGGTGTGTTGCATATCTATGGTATCTCAGATTTTCACACAGACCACAAGCTGACTTTGAAGGTAAGTGACACTCTTAAATTACTCTCACATCTCTTGCTACAGAATGTCAGCTACTGAATACAGGAAAATTACATGAACACATCTTCATATAGACAAACTTCTGTAAGTCCATTCCCTAATTCAACATGATGCAATTTACTTGTGAACAGAGGTCTCACGGTTGAAGTGGCAACTAGTGGCTGTGAATTAATAGTGATTATGAAGTAATAGAATTTAAGCTCTTTGGTAGTAGGAGAAAAGCTGCCTCTAAAACCTCAACCCTGGATCTGGGGAGATTTCAGGCTGTCTTATAGTACCCTGGGAAATGACTTTTGAAGGCATTGGAGTCCAATGCTGGTCACTTCTTAAGTGTCACTTCCTATGAGCACAGGAACAGGCAATTCCAAAACGCTTGATGTCAAGCAGGTGGGGCAGAAGGCTGGCTTGGCTGAACAAGGATATCCTAGAGCTTAGAAAAAGCTCTAGAAAAAGAAGGTATATGGCTGCTGGAGACAAGGTCAGGGATGCTGTTGCAGGGAGAACATTTGTGTTGTCAGAGCCCAGTTAGAGCTGAAGATGAATTACGTCAGATACTTTGAGCAACTTTAAGAAATCCGTTTATTTGTCTTTTTAGATGAGGCAGAGGAACTTGAATGAAAGAAAAAAGTCAACAAATCAGTCACTTAATAACTCAATTTTCCAGCACACTCCTGACAGGAATTAGCAATCCCTTCCTCTCAAGGAGCCTAGAGATTTAAAAAGCAAACCAAGAAAACTTTACAGATGAGAAGAGCAACAGATCCAGACCGACTGCAACATACATGTTGGCAGGTTTATGTAATGGTCTTATTATTCAATAGTGATTATTTAAATCTTTTCTTGTAGAGTTTCTTGCTATTAGAGGTGAATCATCTGCTACTGTCAGGAAAACAACTCTTCCAATGAGTATCAGGAAACCTAGGATACTGGGTTGTTTTTTGCATGTATAACTTCTCTTGTGCTAAGCTTTGTGGTGTCTGAACAGGTCATTGTGAACTCCTGGAGTTCTCTGGAGCCAGTATGCACTCTTGCCAAAGATGGTGTGACTGTTAAAGCACAAAGTGCGTTTTCTATCTACAAGGAGTCCATAAATACCTTGCTGGAAAGATGCAGAAATTGCACCAGGAAGAGCTGCGTTGTTTCTTTTTACCTTGTGGGAGAAGATGGACTCCAGAGTCCAATGAATCATCACTTCCTTTCATCCCTGAAGGATGCTGTAGGATTGGAAAAGACTCAACTTAGTGTAAGCCATCTTAAATTACTGTATTTGGTTTTGCTGATCCAAGTATTTTGAGTTGTTTGCCTCTTTTAGTTTCTGCTTCCACTGAATATTCTGTCTCCTTAGCTGCAGTAGTTTAGCTTCTATGTAGAGGAGTTCAAAGTCATGTGTTTGTTTTTTTTTTTTGTCACCACATACGTATCTGAATAATACTGTTTTTTTCCATGTATGTTTGTTGTTGTTTGTTTGTTTGTTTAAATAATGAAATCTCCATTTCATTTGTTTTGTCTTTTTTTCACTTTATTGCTGTAGCATTGCTCCTTTCATTCTTCTTGTCTCTAGACAGCAAGTAGCATTGTGGCAAAGTGTTTTTGGCTTGAAAACATCAGTGTAGGTTGGTACCAGGTCAAAGTAATTCGGTTGAGCATGTAATACATTAGTGTCAACAGTATTTCTTCTTGAAGTGCTCAAGCTCTTTTAGATCAGTGTAACACTGCTAACATGCAATATTGCATATTCATTTCCTTGTTCTGCAAATCCCTGCCCTTCAGACATGGGGCTAAGCTTTGCCTAACAGTGATTGTTTTGTGATATCTATAAAGTGTGACAGTCTTCTGAACAGACACAAAAGCATTTAAGTTTCTAAGTGTTTGCTTTCTCCATTTACTGCTTTTCCCTGATTTTCTCCTGTTCCTTGCAAGCTTACTTCTATGTAAATATATGCAGGCTTGCTCTGTGTGTGTGTATGTACACACATACTCATGTGCACACACAAATTTGGTTAAGCTTCACTTTTCAGTGCGTAAATCGTATTGCAAAATTCTTAGTCAGCAGTGGCTGAATGGAGACCTGTGTGTTCTCACATGTGGCTTCCAGACTGCAGCCTTGCTCTTTAGTGCTAAACTAAACAAGGGGGGAATAGAGGTCTTTAATCTCTTTAAATCTAGACCAGCATAATTGCTTTACAAAAAGAAAATAGGTTAGATTTTCCCCTCTTATCTCTTTGATGGCAGCAGGGCCTGCTTTCGGAGTATACAAAGGAAAGAAACCAGTCTGTTTTTTATTTATTTTTTTCAGCTGGTGGCACAATCTGGAGTCTGAGTCATGCTGGGTTGCTTTTTTTTTTATTTTTTGAGGATGACATCACCAGTAATAAAAGCTGTGCAACTGGAGCACTGCTGGGAAATTTCATGCCTCTTTCCCATGGCTGTGTTGTCTCTGCAGTAGCAGCTAGTAAGGATAGCTAGCAGGGATAAATGCAGAGTAGGTATTTTAAGAACATACGCAGCTGTGATTTAAAAAATATTTTTGTTTCATAAGAAGGTGGTGCTTCTATACATAGTTACTAATAATCTAACTAGACTTCCAAATATATTGCTAATCTAAGTGCTACCCTTCATAGCGTTGCTTACTGTTTCTTCAGTTAGCACACAATGCAAACCACATGTACTTTTTCTCAAAAATTAAGAGTTGTTTTTCTTTTAAGCGGGGTGTGTTTTTTTACATTTTGCTCTCCACATATTGGAATTTAAAAGCAATATATCATAACGTTTCTTGACAGGGAATGGAGACCGCTCCATGAAAATTTATCCTGATTGTTCTTTTAAGCTTTACAGAGATTAACTACTGATAGAACTTAATATTAGGCCTCGTTCTGATATTTCACAACATAGCTGCCTTTTCAATGTAGCGTAAAGACTATTCTGTTAGGAAGAGGTGACCTCTTGTGCTGCTGTGACTTTTGCCATGTGGTTCTGTTACTGATGTGATCAGAAAGACCAGCTACTTTAGCGCATAAATTAATAGGTTATTATAGGTTATACCTACCTAGGTACGTAGGTAAAGGGGGAACTCCACAGTAAATCACCACAGTAAGTTTAGGATACAAGTTCTGAGTATAAATCATATTACTATTTATTTGGTAGTTTTCAAAAGAAAGAGAAACACTCCTTAGTTTCATTTTTCATGATCTGTGTTATTCTGAAGAAAAGCTATCATCAATATTTGTGGTTTTTGCATGATTGTTATGTATTTGACCTTTTAGTTCCAGAATATGTTACAGTAATAGAATAGGAAAATAAGAATAACTTTAATCAAACGTGGGTTTTTTTTTTTCAGTCTGTTTTAATCACAAACAACTCTTTCACAGTTTGGGTGTAACTGGTTGTTCTTAGTAAGTATGTTTTTTATTTTTATTTCTTTTTTTCTTCCAGGCCACTGTATCACAACAAGATGATGTTTATATATTTGATCTTCAGACTACTGCAATTGCTCCTTTTGTTACTTTGGATGTAGGGAGTATAAAGGGTAGGTTTAGTGATAATGGTTTCCTCATGATGGAAAAGAAGAAGGTGGTTATTTTTTATCCTTGGGAGCCTACCAGTGTTGAAGAACTAGAAAAGTCGTTCACCTTGACATCTTTGATGGACGTTGCCTGATGATTTTGTTCTAGATGACAAAACAGGGAGAGGAAAAACTGGGAAGAATTTGACTGCAGTTGAGGTGACCTATGAGATGAGATGACTGAATGTTTTGTTTTGTCATGTGTGAATTTTAACTGCTGGTTCAATGTAAAGATAGCAACAACACAGCTTGCTTATAATATATGTGGTGCATTGAACATTGGCTTTCTCAGGTAATTACATCCCGCACAAAATGGGAGGGGTTAGTTGGTGTAAGACTCTTCCAATTCATGTAGAAGAAATTACTGGGTTGTAGTTCTCTCCTACGTCAAAGACAACAGATATGTACCTCTAGACTATGTTTGTAAAATACATAAATTTTTTCCACTTTCACAATGCTATAAGTGAAAAATCATCCTAGGACTGCCAGAAGGTAAGGAGGAAGGTCAGGGAATGAAGCTGAGACCTCCTCCACAGGCCAACAAGTTGAACAGTGCATTTTTTTCACCCAGCTCACTCTTAGGGTGGTTTGTTTCATCTACTGTAGTCCTTGCCCCATTAATCTGGTTGCTTGTGCAAGGCCTTATTTGTGAGGCCAGGCTGAGGAAGGAAGTTGGGAGAAAGAAAGTGGGGGGGAGCACACCATCAGACAGTGCTGCTGGCTGCTGCTCTCTGTGTACCACTGCCTCACTTAAGTCCCTCTGCATGTTCCTCATGGCAGTGGCAGCAGGGGGTCTGAAGGTGTTCAGAAGCATGTAGATGTGGTGCATGGAACATGGTTTACTGGGTGTGGTGGTCATGGGTTGATGGTTGGATCTTAGAAATCTTTTCCAACCTTAATCATTATACGGTTCCCAGACAGCTGCAGTCACAAACTTTGTTTGCTCATGTGGATTCCTGCGTAGCGTGTCATGGTATGAGATGTGCCTGGCTGTGGGAAAAGAATGAGAGAAAAGTTGGCAAAGGTACAAAGAGAAAGGAAGCAAGAGAGAAAATAAATGGTTATTGAGAGGACCACAGAGTTAGAATTTTCTCCCTTTTCTCCACTAAATGCACAGTGCAGGGACTGATGTTCTCCCTTGTGTATTGCTGCTACCTCCTGGCACTCCCTGTGAGTGGCCTGTGCCCCACTCTGGGCCTCTTCTCCTTTCAGAGGAGTTGGCTTACTAGTTTATCAAGCAAATTGTGTCATAATTCTGCTTTGGTGTGTTTGTTCTTAAGCTCTTGTGTGTATGTCACCTCCAAAATGTTACATGGACGTCACCAAAGGAAAACCTGACCATCTTTAATTTGTTTCTTTGTATATACCTTTCCTGTTGAAAACACTGCTTACTCATTATTAGATCTGGGGGTCCATTATGTTTGTTAGTCCATACAGAGTAACCGTACATCACCTTTTACTCTGTTTCTGAATAAGTTGTTCTTAAAACGTTTTGGCTTCCCGTGGAAATGTCTCACTTAGGCACTTAAAGATAAGAAAATAAATGTGCTTCAGTGCAGGGGCTACAGCAGTCTGATAGATAGCAGATGATAGCAGAGGGTTTGGTCATCTGGAAGTCCAGGTCACCAAGCTGTGCCTCAGCCAGGTTGCTAAACATCAACTTCTTTCAGATGTGATTTGAAATGCAGCTGAGATCTTGCTGGGGTTCCATGGGGAACCTGTTGCAGTGCAACCACAGTATGCATTTTCCTGCATTTTTCTACTTCACAGTAGAAAGTGTCTGAACAAGCTGTGCTGGTGACATCCACCTCTGAAATGAAAGCACCATGTAGATGATATTTATGGGGGGTGCCGGGTTATGGAGTGCATACAGGGAAAATGATTGTGTGTCATATCGGTCAGTTAAAAAAACCTGAAGTAAAGGGTTGCTTTGTTGTAGTGGCTGCAGTTCTAATGGGCAATAAATAAACATCTTGACAGGTGCTTGGTGATCTGCAGCTGTTTTTGGAATGGGTCATTAACCAAAATGAAAATAGTCCTGAGGAAGAGGAAGAACTTGAATGTGGAAGTGAAATGATTAATGGAATTTCCTTACAAATGCTTTACTAGGTCATCAAAACAGCTAACTGAGCATTGGAGGTCTTTTCTGATTCAAGAGTTGTTAAAAGAAGATGTGAAATAATTAAAATATGTTTATGTGCTACTATTTACAGATTATGTTAAATAAATAGGGAAAATTATAGCCATGAATAAAACTTTACAGATAATGCAGGTGTTGATCACCTCATGTAAATGGTACATGAGAGGCACCCTGGGCCAAGAATAGAAGAAAAAGCCTTTAGATTTTTCAGTGTCTTGGAATCAAGTGGAATCATAACAGCAATAGAGCCCTATATAAGGTAAGGATGGAAAAACGTAACCACTATGCAGAAAATATGGGATAAAAATTATTAATAAATACCACTTCAGCATGTAAGGAAAAGAAGAGGTTGGTCAGTATCTTCCCATCCTGCTTTGATGGGAAGATACTACAAATGTCTCTTCCAGGAACATCTAGCTAGAATTTCAAAATGGCACTTAATAGAGTTCAATAAATAAAACAGACAGAATTACTTGTTTCAAAGAATATTGAGAGGACTATCTTAAGACCAATGGTATTTGTTCTAAGTGCATCTTGGAATATAAATGAAATTTCACAGTCATAGAAGAGAGCTTTTGGATCTTTAGAAGATATAAACAATGAACTTAGACAGCTGTGAACTTGTTTGGCCTGCCATGAATTCTGGGCAACATTATGAAAGTACATGATGTGGCTCGTCGATAATGGTAATGGCTGTGCAACCAGTGCCCATCTGCAATGTCATACAGAAAAGTGCTCTTCCATAAATGTTATTCTGCTGTTGTGTTTTGCAGTTACCAGATTTCTGAAGGTCAAAAGCACCCTAATTCTGTGTCCATTCTTTCTCACTTGAAAGCTGTTACTGAGTACTATGTGCAACAGTACCTAGAAGATTTACAATTACTTAGGCCAAATAGTTGGTCACAAAGCCGTTCCCTTACATTATAGTCTTCATATCCTTAATATGTTCTTTTGGTTTAATGGTGCTTCAGCAGATTTGTATTTGTAGATGCTATTTTTCTTGCTCCCTACTGCAGCAATCACTGTAACATCTACTTTGGCTGACTATTATCCCTTGGTGTTTTTGCTGTTATATACTTAATTACATTGTTCTGCTTTTGTCTCAGATCAGGGCAAGGACAAGAACGCAGCAGCGAAGAGATCTTTGGAGTATCATCCATAGCCATCTGAGTGTGGGTTCCAGGGGCTCAACTGCACTTGTATTGCCAGGTGTATCTGATGGGTTGGGAATCGGCAGTGATTGGATTAGGAAAAGCAATTGCTAAGTGTCCTGGTGCTTGTCTGTAGTGTTGTTCAATTATTGGTGGCCCTACCAGTATTCTTTCTGCATGCAGCCTTGCAGTACTTTGTCTAGGGATTGCTGGGTTTGCTCATGCTGATGTTTTTTTCTAATGGATGGAGACTGCTTCCCTGCCAGGCTCCTGCAGGGCTGTTCTCCACAAATGACAAAAGCAGCCGTCAGAGTTCCCTTCAGCAGGGGCCGTGACAGTACCCTGCCAGAACACAACTTGAGAGTAGCTTTTGGTAGAAAGCTGTATGGTGTTAACTGGGGCGATGTCCTAAAACTCTCTGTCCAACTTTGCTCTGAACTACTTTGAGGGTTGCAGAGATGGTCTGTCTGATGGTCAGGGAGCTGCAGAAAGCACCTCTGGTGATACTTTCTGCCACACAAGGAAGGCTTTTTTTCTTTCTCTCTTTTTTTTTTTTTTTTTTTTTTCCTCCTTAAGTTTACCTCTAACTGTTTTTGAAAGCTTTTCTGGATTTTATATTTCTGGTTTTCATGAGATGTGTACTTAGAATTCATCTCCAAATACGTAGCTCTTTGTCAGTCTGTGTTACCTGTTGCTTGCATAGCTTGGGGCATGAACAATTTGTCTGCTTTAGAGGCACATCTTTCTTCAGCACTTCTGTTCCTGTTAGTATCGTGTCTGTCTTTGGAGTGTGTAGCAGAGTCACTTCAATGACTTATAGCAGCATCAGTTGCAAGGGAACAGGAGAGTGAGATTCTTGTTCTCAGAAAAGAAGAGTTAGGGCTTGCTTTTACAATCCTGGAGTCTTTGTTTTCCTTTCTTACCCTGTGGGGGAGAAGTTGAGTAAACCAGGACCTTGTTGTTTGAATGTTTAAGTGTATGTTCCAGTCAAGGAATCGAGTTAACGTAGTTGTCCTTCTCAATCAGATGTCAGAGGATAGTGAAATGAAAGTCCCTGTTCAGTGTAATTAGGGATAGAGAAGCAAGTCTTAAGTGAAAAATGCAGAACCTTAAAAATTTCTTGGTTTTGTCTCTGTCAGCATTGGGAAAATGCCATTGTATGTGGCTACTGTAGGACACGGGTTAACTGACAGTAAGTCAGTCACAAGCATTTGCAGTGTGTAATGAAGCCCACAGATCAGCTTGCACATGTCTGTGTTGTGAAAGTAGCGAGGCTAAGTGGATGATGGGAAAACTTCTTACTTTTTACAATTGGTTTTCCCACTAATTTAAGAGTTCTATGGGCTTTGGATAACGTACGTACTGCAGCCTAGTTCTAAGCAGGGCATCACATTATTTCATAACCCTGGATACAGAAAAGCATCTCCTGGAATTAACTTGTGCTGTCTTTTGCTTGTAGCTGTAGGAATCTTTTGAATTCATCAAAAGTTTGGATGAAACTTGTGGCAGAATCGCTGCAGGACTGCTCTGCTTTAAGAGGATTGTATGCTCCAGAAGAGCTGTAAGCTGTAAGTGAGTATTGGCCAGTTGCATCTTGAGCTAATGAATGGTCACCACTGTTCCTTGTCACCTCAAGGGAGGGAAGGTTGCTTTTTTCCTTAAACGTAGGAAAACAGCACTTCACCAGCCCATGAAAGGGAGAAAAGGCATTTCATATACCACTGTAGGCTGGTAAACAAAAGTCATTGGAAACTCACAGCAATGGCAGACACTTTAAAAACAGGGTCAGTTAAACTTTCTAAATAGCCTTTTTTAATGTCAAACATAGAGAAAATCTGTAGTGTTCTGTTGTCACGCCATATTTTTGCTCTGTTCCCTATTTCTGGTGTCTGTTACTGTGGTACAAAGCAAAACAACGCAGCAGATACTATTTACTGCAAGTGCAGATTAAGTGTATTTCAGATTTAGATTCTTGCTATAATTTATAATATATAATGTATAATGTAACTTATAGAACTTGATTGGAAGTGTCTAAGGTTGCACCTGTGTACTGGGGAGGGGGGGAAAGCTTAGTTAAATACCTTTGGAGATATTTCTAGATTAATCTCTGCCAAAGAAACTGAAAGTGTGACTAGCAGTCAGAGGGACGAGGCCCCAGTGCAAACATCTTGAGATGCTTCAAGTTGTTAGTATATGCATTTTGGCCCTTCCTCCAGCTTTGCTGTCCTATTTGCTAACAGCAGTGCACTCTAGGCCTCCTGCACAGTCATGCAGTAATGCTTGGAGTAAATAGGAGCTTGGCAAATTGCTGGAACAGTTTTCCTAAAGGATCTGTTAGGTAAAAGTAACTCTAGAAATTCTATCTAGAACAGAGATACACTTAGCTTTTCCGAACTTGAGTTAATAACAGGGTCTTGATTTTTGTTCCTTCAGGGCTAACGTGGAGTAGAATAGGGACAATAGCTTGTGCTACAGGCCTGTAACTGTACTGAACATGAGTCAGTAATGATTAGTCCTTGTTACTACCCTGTGTTGGTGTGGTCAAGTCTTCTCAGTGTTGGGTGGGACAAGGTTTCTCCATAACCCAGTTATGCACAGGAGATCTCAAGCAGTGAGCTGGGTTCTCTCATTTGTTTGACCTTCAGACTTGGGGAACAGGAATAGCACTCGTTTCTTGTATAAGGTGACATAAGAATAAATCTGTGTCTAAGGTGAGCTAATGGGATGTATAAATCTCTTTTAGTGGTTACTTGTTAAGAATACAGCTACTCAAAATGTTTCTGTTGAGACTTGGATGCACTGCTCATACTCTTCCTGTAGACCATGCTTCCTCTGCGTACACTTCTTCCTTCAACCTGCATGAGGCAGCAGTGTGCTTGGCCATTTCCAGGGGTGCCTGCCTCCTTCCAGGTGCCAGAAGAACAAGGCTGCGTGTCCTGCAAAGGATGACTGCCTGCTGATAAGAGAAAAGGTAAGGAAGAAAGAGCAAAGCTGTGTGCATGAGCATTTTCTTTGAATTAAACCGAGGTAAACACAAGGCTCTCCAGTAAATTTACTCTGCTGGTGTGGAACTATACAAAAAAGAAACAAATGCCTCTTGCACTAGGCAGCCTGACACCTGTAGTGCTCCCTTGCCAGCTGCCTTCTATTCTTGCCTGCTTTTGCCAAACCATGGGTCATGCCTGTAACACATGCTTAAGATGCTGAGGGCTAAAGCAGATGGGAGAAGTTATGACCTGACTCTAGAAATTTAGTGTTCATGTTTGAATTAATGAGACTACATTAGTATTTTTCTATTGCTAAACCAAGAAACAAACAAACAAAAAAACAAAAACAAAAAAGTCTGAAGCTTCTGTTGCTGCAAAGAAACTGCAAGAAAAGATGCCAGCCTGCCACTTATGCCACGTGTCTTCTGGTGGTTTAAAAGCAGCAGAGGGCCGGAAGCAATGCTAAATGTGCTCATCAACAGCCAGCCTGCCTTGGTGACCTGCAGGATTGCAGAAACCTTGATAAAAGTCTCTGCCACCCCCTCCAGGCTGTGCTGGAAGATCGGTGCCAGAAGGTAGGAGTGACTCAGTGGCTCTGACAGGGACAGAACATGAAAACCTTTGCCCGTTTCTGCATTTAAAAAATAGCTGCAGCTAGAAATGAAGGCGGAACACTGGACAACTACACTCATCAAACAGAAGTCCACACTGCTGCATTCATAGGCTGCTCATGTGGTAACTGAAAGAAAGCATTGTATTTTTACCATTTTGTATCCTGTTTCTCTGGAATTAATTCAGCTGGATATGAAGTTACTTCCAAAGATTTTTCACTGATTGTGACTTCATAGTAGCATTTGCTGTAATGAATGGAAGTATTTAATATTATTTTATTTATATTATCTCCTTTCCCAGGACCTATATCCACATTACTGAAGACTGAGGTCAGCCAAGGATCATCAGTGTGTCAAAAACTCCACCTCTGTGCCATGAAAGCTGGCTATGGGTAAGTGATATGACAGCACTTTGCATTTTTATAGTTAAATCTGATAGCTGTTCTGTATCCGTAGTAGGGGCAATATCTGTAACTGTTGCACTCACTGGGATTAATTTGAGACAAAAAGAAATACTCCTCAGAAACATGGTTATAGAGTTGTTTCAGGTAGCCAAGTAAGAACCACCTCATTAGTTTTGCTGATAAGCTGAATTGTGGACTTCAGCATCGATGACTCTCTGCTGCCAGAATTATGAGAACTATCAAGGACTATGAATCAGAGGCTCTCAGCACAGATTCTCAGCTGCAGCAGATCCTTGTGGTCTCGTTCCCTATAAGACACTTAAGTTTAAAGAAAAGAGGTTTGCAACCTTTCATTTATTTTAGTAGTTGGAAATTGCCAGAACTCAGTACTAGATCTTCTGTAACTAATTGCAATTGGAAGTTACGTAAAAATTACAGCAAGTGTAGACAAGATTTAATTTTGAGTTTTTATTATAAAAGTAAAATAAAAATAAGCTTTTAAAAAGCACACATTTATTTTTTTTTAAAAAGGAACTGATATAAAAAACTATTTACAAGTAGGAAATGCAAAACTTGATTTTTTTTTTAGAGGCACCAAAGCTATGTTTAAATACATTATTTGAAATATACAAGATTTTTTTTTTTTTTTTTTGATTCTTTTGTCAGAGTTGTCACTGCTGCGATTAAAGTCACTATTTTTTCTTTACCAGTGATTTTAGGAGCTTTTTCCAGACAACCGTGCTGCAAAACTTCTGAAGGGAACAGCCAGAAACCATCCTTTGATTGCTGTGTGCTTTACCTCTTTGAATTAAGTGAGCTGATATTAGGCATTAATAAGGAGTGTCTTTCATCTATAAAAGAAAATCCTCACAAACCAGGTGAGCTCCCTCAGTCCATCAGTGTCCAGTCCTTTGTATTAATGTAGCACGGAGCCCTGGCTGTCAGATGTGGCTTATAAATGGACAGTACATGAGGAAGGAAGCAAGGACGAGGAGTCACCACTGGTTCAGGTTCGTGTGTGGATCCTCCAGTGCATTTCTGGTTGTGAATTTACTTCCCTCCAGCTGTGACAACATCAGTGTAATTCTAAACGTTGGGGTTGTGTCTGTAACTGCATATATTGCTAATTGAAGTTACCTAGTTAGGTATATAATTGCTTTGCTCTGAGCTTTCCTGGCCGTAGCCCAGGGTCATTTTGCTAAGTGTTAGCGATGACTTGCTGTTCAGAGAGTCTGAATAAGTAAAGCTCAGTTTGCGGAAGGAGGTCTCTACCCCGCTGTCACACGTGCTTTCAGTGTCTTGAAATTTGTGATTATAAAGTTCACCTGAGAGAGAAAAGGGAAATCAATTAGTTTGTTTTACTTCAGTGACATCCCAAAAGGCCAGAAGAATACAAAGCAACAGGTTACAACTCTTGTATAAGAAAATAACTGCAGCTTTAGGTACTGCTATTGGAAAAGGCTGAATCAGCACAGGCTGAATGTTTTCAGTTGAGCAGAGCATGTGAGCTGATGCACTGCTGGCAGAGATCAACTGCAGGCAGCGTTTGGGTGAGATGCGAAGCCTGCTGTGCTGCTGACATTAATACTGTCACTGCACTGCAGTCAGGAGTCTGCCCCAGTGTGGTAGCAGCAGGGCAAAAAGTTCTCTGCATCTCAGATGCATGGACTGCGCAAGTACACAGCTCCAGGATGAGGCTCCTTAGAATTCTCATGTTATTTCAATTGCTGATTTCTGAGGTGTTTGTCTTGAACAATTTTCATCTAGTTATTAAAGGGAGACTGAAATACAAAGCTGTCATCTGTGTAAGCTTCATAAAATAAGCACCTGATTGCGAGAGAACTGTATCAGAGTTGTAATGAATAGAACAGCAGCTGGTGTATTACAGAGCCAAGTGGTATTTTTCTAAACAACTGTTTTTTTAAAAAAAAAAGGACATTCATATTGCAAAGCAGCACAAACTCCCTTCCTCTTTAAGAATAGTCTAAAGAGGTAATATGTACAAACACACTCTTGAAAGGTGCAAATGTTTGTTCCATGTCTAGCACAGTTGGACCAGGATGGAGTTGCTATGGTTGATTCTTTGAGAAGTTTATGAACCCCAAACATCTGTGTTTGTCTAGATTGGGTGGAGGAAAGGGGCAAGTGAAAATATAATGGGAATGTGCATAAACCTGTAAATTCATTCCCTAGTTTATCTTTTAAACATCTAAGGAATTTGTATCAGTAAGTGGCAGATGACCACATTAAGGAAAAAGGAGCCAGTTATACTCAATACTGTAGGTACAGGTTAAAATAATCCATTTTTCCTCTTTCTTGTGCATCTGGCAAATGTCAACTGAGAAAGCCCTACATGGTACACAAGCAGAAACAGGTAAGGATCTCAGACACGGTGGGTAAGAAACTCTGCTGTCTATTAGCATTCCAAAGCAAGGAGGAAGAACTAAGAAATGTTAATTTTACCTGTCTCTCCCTTTGCAAAATTGGCTGGTGATGATATAGGAAAAGCTTCTATTGTGTTGTCCTCCTGGTGAGGCTGACTTTGTGAACTAGATAGTGCTTTCTCAATTACTTCAATAGCTTCTGTGTGATCCATCTGTCTCAAAGCAGCAATCAGCTCTTGAACTGTACCTCCAGAAATCTAAAAGAGAAGACAGCAGATGCTCACAGCTTCATCCTGGCTAGCCAAAACCAAAGGGCTGCAGTATCTCACTGTGCAGGACAACATTCACTGCACATCTGTATGTTCTTTATAACCTGTTACAGCCACATTACCTTATAGTTATCTAGCAGAGTTTTCGAAGGTGAAGGGCTCAACCTGAAGGCATTATTAAGGATGCCAAGACCCAACTTTTCTGCTAGAGTAGACCAGTTCTTGCTTGAATCAGGTGTTTCCAATAGCTTGTAAAGCTGCTGCTTGGAGCTTTCACTCAGCTCTTTCAGAGGGCCTGGGGAACAGAAAAATACATCTGTAATTTACATGAGTCGCACACCAGTTCATTTCTAAGCAGATGCAAAGCCAAATTAAAAATTACTTATTGTAGCATCCACTGCTATTTACTAATATATTGCTGTAATATTGAAAACATACAAACTTGGGTCCTCGTGCCATGCTTCTTAACAGAATCTTGCTCATTCAAAGACTGCAGTGGTAGTGAGTACCTCTTCTCCCTCCCCACCTCCCTTACGAGCCTCTGCTTGTTTTGTTATTCTCCTAGCATGCTTTGTGTACTCAGCTGTTCATTACCAAGGGGAGGCCAGGTCCTCTTTACAGATGTTACCTTGTGTCATTAAGTCCTCTGAAACTGCTGCTGCTGCCACGTAGGGTTTGCCATTTAATATGTCGTATACCTAAAAGAATACATTCAATTTATTATTTAGCAAAACCTGGTTATTTGTCCATTATTTGGACAAGTTTCAGTAGTATTGTTTATGATATTTTGTAAACGGCCCCCCTTTTTTTTTTTTTTTTTTTTTTTAAATCATTTCTACCTTTGAGGGATAAATCTGTAAGTTCATCTCCCTTGCCCTTAAGCTCTGTCGTCTGGCAATTATTGTCAGGATACAGAAGCAGCCTGTGCAGTAAACAAGGGGCTGTAGCAGTAGATAAGTGAGGAGTTAGCAGCTATCTACAACTAGTAATTTGAAACAAAGCCTAGGCTCCATTTTCATCTTCTCGGTACCACTCCCCACCCTCACTTCATATGATCAGAATGCTGGCTACTTATATGCTCACATCATGCTAGCTGCATGTACTTGGATACTGGAGCTTGAGCCACGTAATCTAACCAATGTTTAGGTAGGACACAAAAGTCTATTTTCACTACATACCACCCAGTCTGCAGTTCTAAAGACCGTGCAGCAGAGAAATGTATTACAGTGTCTCACCCTGGCCTCGCAGACCCTGAACGTGCACCTGCAAGCACATGCTGCTCAATCTGCTGCATTCTTTTCCATATTGACAACCCCAGTGCAGCTACTTTGAAGAAATGCTTGTTCAATCCCACTCAACAGAAGTAGGCTACTAAGAGGAGCTTCCAATACTACTTCACCATTTCTTATGGCTCAGTAAGTTTGTTTTTTATGTCAGCGAGGTGCTACAGAACTCTGTCACTATTTATATAACTAGATGAAATGAAGCAGATTGGCTGACAAAACTGAACTATCCTTTTTTTTTTTTTAATTTAAATACTAAAAGACAACAGACCACGTACCTCCCAGTTGGCTGCCATATCCAGTGGCGTTGTTCCAGGTACAATTCCTTCATCATCATCATCTTTCACATCTTCTTCTACATCAAAGAGTGGCTCAAAGTTCTCAATGTGAGGATCTGCACCTGGAAAACAAGCGTGCAAGAAATTTCTAAGGAAAGGCTTTTAAGCTATTTTACACTGTGTTGTTGAAAAGCATAGTTAAAATAGCTAAATTAGAAGGTTTGCAATTCAAAACTTAAAATACATATTTTAACTCAGAAAATAGTAGGGTTTTTTAATACACTGAAGTTAAATCATCCCTGTGTATTCATCCATTATACAGATGGGGGAAAAATGACAAGCAGTGTGTTAAGGCCTGAAGAGTCAGCTTATATAATCAGACCTTCCAGTTCCATTCTTGGCTCACACAGAGCACGTATGTGATGAAGCACTGATGCAGGGCTTCCCTTTTGTAGTGTCAGAGAAAGCACAAATGTTACTAAAAGAGCAATCACACAGCCAGCGCTGTGGGAGGCTTGGATTTCTGTTTCTAAGGAGAAAATTCAGGTATCGAAGGTTTAAACGCAACTGAAAAAAACATTCCAGTACAAAACCAAAACTAACTTTACTGTAGTGATACAAAACTGGGGAGAAGTGTTCCCAGTTTCTTTGCCTTTAAAAGCAGTCCAATCCTTATTCCAACCATAGAACTGGGTTTTTTGTCTGCTGCAGGTATTAAAAAAATATCTACAACTACCCCAAAACTTCCAAGAAAGCTTGGGAACTATTTTTACTTAGATAGTTTTGCTTTGCTTTTTTTAGCCATTAGATGGTGCTAAAGACCCCTGAAACTAGGACTTTCCCGAGGAGAAACAAGCCTTTTAACATCTGGTATCTTCTCCTCATTAAGAAGTTCACTAACTCCTAAGTGCAGCCCCCTAACGTGAACTGGCACAGTTAAAGAGAACACTGCAACAAATATTTGGCTGAATACCTGCTGCTTTGAGAACTGCTGCCAGTTTTGTAAAGCCCCTTCCAGCTGCTATGTGAAGAGGCGTTGTGCCATCGTAGGTAGTGCTGTCCACATCTGCATCACCCTAAGTATTAAAAGAGAAGAAGGAAAATGCTATTCATCCATACAGTACTGCTACATGGAGACTTGTCTGCATAAACCTTGTTATTCTGCAAGCAGCACCATTCCATGCCTGTCTGCAAAAATTCCAGCCGTTGACTGAAAAGAATGAATCGGAAGGTGATTACAGCTGTCGGCACGCAAGAACTGACAGTGGTTGTGCACTGCAGTACTACAGCAGGAGGCATGCTGCCTGAACCCAAATAGGCCAGGTAGATAAAACTCAAAAGCCACTTTGCATCCCATAATACTAATCAGATAATAGTTCTATTATCAGATTACCCTCAGCATCTGCTGTGCACTGCAAGCTGCCTTCCTGCTGCCCTTCAGCAGAGCAGATGGGCAGCTAGCACATCTGTACCCCATACCAGGGGAGCTACTGCAGGTAGCTGTAGGTGTGTGCAATTAAGTGTGCTAAGATCAAGGTGTGAGAGATGAGACAAATATTTACAGATACACACAGCTATCTCTCTGCACATCTGCATACGCATTCCACCACACCAGATCAGCAACTTGTTCATGAGTAGTTTCATTGGCTGCTGGGATTCTCAGTGCAAATTAAGCATGGCACAGGCAGTCAGGTCAGGGTCACAAATCAAATTTCTCAGCTTAAAAAAAGGTTCATCAGCAGTGCTGAATAACTAATAGCAAATAAATAACATCAGTGAAAATTTTCCCATTATACCAGTTAAAATAACCAAGCCAATGAAGAGAAACACCACTTCATTTCCACTGCAGACTGACTTATTTTAAAAGTCTTGAAAATACGTCTCTAGGAAGACTGGGGAAAAAGAAATTCTGCCCTCACCTCAAGCAAAAGGCAGCCTGCCAAGGGGATGTTCTCTTGTTCAACAGCTAAATGTAATGCAGTTCGTCCAGATTTTTGTTCCTGAGCATTGACGTTAACTCCAGCAGCAATCAGTAGTTTCAGACAGGACAAGCTATTGGCCATCACCACCATGTGAACTGCACTGAGACCTACACAAAAGCCATTTGTGTACATTAACATTTGAAAAACACAGAAATGTCACAGCAATGACTTCTTAAGCAGCTGCATCTCTGAGAGGCTGTAAAATGACTGAGTTACTGTAGTTATCTGAGCACGAGTGACCTTTGCCTGTCTGTGCACCAAAAATGGTGTTAATTAAAATGTTCTTCGTGCATAAATTGGAACTACTTGTATTATTGTGACTCAAAACCATGCATGAGAAAAATCAGCGAATTGCACAGAGGAACAGAAAGGAAGAAAAATGAATCACCCTAGAATGTTCTAGAAACATCCTGGAGAATAATGCTCCTTAAAGGTCAGACAGCTCCGTCACCTCAACATTAACTGCTCAAAAAGAGAATCATAAAGCTTTCTACTTATAAATAATAAGAAGGATCAACTCTCTCTGACAAACTTAACACAGTTTCTTAAATCGCATAGTGACATTTTTAGGCCAGGTATTTTACTATCTACATCTAATGCAAGAGTACTAAATTCAAATGACCTGAGCCATTGAGAAGTGGCAGGGTAGGGTCTCCGTGGGTATTTTATAAGCTTTAAAACTCTGTAGTCCCAGTGTTCCAGATGTGATACTTGACACTGGTCCAGAAATGACTTTTGAGGGAACTTTATCCACTGGAGAAGAGGAAATATTTTCACTTGGAATTTCTTCTAAACAGTGGTTCTGTAAGGCATCCCAAGAGGAACACAGTTCCTGAATTTTTGTGATGCTAAAGAACAGAAAGTTCAAATCCATAGTGTGTAATATGGACATTACCAATCTCTACGTTCTGTATAACCACAAAACCTACGCATTTATGTTCTTTTATCTGACTGCAGGTGTATAAAAGCCAAGGCTACAATGTGCAAACCATGCAAAGATGCAACTTCCAAGGTCTGTATCTGCCTAGAAAGACTGTGTTGTCAGAAATGGTGGGGTGCTTGTCTAGAAGGCAAGTAAGTGTAAAGTACAGGCACTATCGTTCCATACCTTCGCCATTGAAAAGGTCAATCATTGAAGATGCCTTCTGATGCTTGAGGAGCAGACTCAGAATCTTGTCATCTCCTTCAGCAGCAGCTAAATGTAAGACAGAATTACCATGGCGATCCAGAAGGTTGACATTTGCTCCAGCCTTCAGCAAGTCTTCAACCACCTCTGCCTGCTTTGTGATTACTGCCAGGTGCAAGGGGGTCTGGAAGTGACAGAAGTGAGCCATGAGAACATGAGGGGCAACTACACCCCTCATTTACAGAGGGGTGTACAGAAATCTGCTAAGCCAATGAAAGCACCTACTGTGAGGTGCTGCTCCACTTTAACGCTGGCACAGGTGAAAAACTTGTGCACGAGTACATTTTCTTCTGCTGTATAATACAGATCGGGTTTTCTACTTACTGGAAATAAAAGCCACCTCACTGGTGTCAGCAGTCAGACCTGAGGAGGAAGGAAGACATTGCCTACCTTGTGGACTGGGGGACTAACCTGGCTGTTTGTAGTGCAAGGGTCTTGGAAAATGAGAGAATCCCTGTACTCCCAGATGCACTAACCCTGCCAAGCTCCTGCCACAGAAGGAGCAAACTCTCTTTCTAGAGCCTGTTCAGCTCTGCCTCTGCAACTGAATCATACTCTAATTTTGCTCCTAAAAAGCAAGTTCCCAGCCACAGGTTTAGGATTTCCTTATCCTTCAAAACAACTACATACAAAAAAGCAGAAAAACTTGCTGTTCTGTTTGCCAAAGTTCAGATTACACAATATCATCTAGCTGATACTGTTTGCATGGTTCCTATTTTTGCACAAAGACACCTGTAGCACTGAGGCTCTCAGGCTGAGATTTCAAATTTTTCCAGATGTTAACTGTATACTGCATCCTTGCCAATAACAAGTTTCATGGATCACAAAGTATGTATTTAACAGTGAGGCAATGCAGTGGTTTAGGAAATTGTATTCCTAATTGTATTCCTAAACTAAAGTAATCTGAAAAATGGAGAAGATTCCATCTCCATATCATTACTTTTATATTTACAGATTACTGTATAATCTGTTTAATAATCTGTATACCTATTTCTTTAATAATCAAAAACAAGCTTGTGTTTGTCAGTGGAATTACCAACGTATTTGCAATTACTTGAATTGATATGGCAAAGCATGATAATCTTTCAGAGTATCTGCACAAAGGGAAACCTTAGACTAAACCTGCATTTCCCTCCCATCACTGGCTTAAGGCTTAAGTGAAAGGTAGAGCAGCTGGAGAAGTTCTGGTAGTTAGAGATTTATTTCTTCTATGGAGCACAGCTTTGCTTCCTATTTCTGTTAAACAGAGGGCATGCAAAATTCAGTTCAGAATCTTTTTGCTTTCATCACCTTTCACATTTCAAACTTCCTTTATGCGAGGACAAAATGAAACATGAAGGAGAACAGAGAAGTCACAATAAAGCCTCTGAGATTATCTGTATAGAACGAAGTCTTGGCTGTATCATTTATAGCGTGGAGCTGAACAGAAAGAAATGGCACAAGTCTCAGAAGTGCTGCTGTGTGATGTCCAGCTGGGTACCTTTGTGACAACGGAATGGCACGCATGGTTGAAGAGAGCTTCTTGTACTGGCAAGTTTCCATAGCTCTTTTTAAAGCCCATCTAAGTTGCAGCAGAAAAAGCTCAAACTGTGTTACAGATAAGTTGAGGAGAGAATTGTGCTGGGCTGCTAACAGTTACTTCCCTACTGGGTAAAAGACATGTTTTTTGGTTTTTGTTTTTTTTTGTGGTACACTGTGAACTGAAAAATGAAAGAAAAACTCTGGTGCTCATACAACGGGCATGAAGACCTAGGCTACAGAAAGACATAGTTTGTTACAAGCTTCCTCAGCAACTCACTCATGATCCTGAATTATCCTGCATTAAAAAATTTGAAAGAGCCCAGAGTTGGCACACTAATCCAGACCTCTAATTTAATAACAGAGGAGCCAAATAATGAAAATATAAACTGAAGAATTCGGTATTTTGGGGCTGTTCTATAATAAACAAATGGAGATGTTTCTCTTAACATCAAGGCAGTTAGGAATTAATAGAAGGAAAACATGCCCTTGTTCTTCCACCACCTTACAGCGTGCCACTGTGTTCCTCAGTGCGTGAAACTGTAAACCAGTTTGCCTTACTCTGTGATCTGGGCTCATTCTGATGAACAGAAGGAAAATAAGACAGTAAGGAGAACAGTTACAGCTGGCTGAATGATCTCCATCAGTTACACCACCACAACAGCATACCTGATAAAGGTCATTTCTCATGTTGATAATGCTGTTGTAATTCATGTCCGGCATCACTTGCAACAGGTTTTTAACCAGTTCTCTATGAAGGTGGATAATTGACAAATGAAGGACACTGAAACAAAATAACAGATTAGCACTGTCACTGTATTCTCAAACGCATGATACAAATTGTAAGACTTGGCTGTACAGCTGACTATTAGAAGTCTTTGCCAACACCTAAAATAAATGCTAACATTAAAAAAAACTGAGTCAGAATATAGCTGTGTTACCGCTTCAATCACAAAAGAAGAATCAGGATGAATTTTGCTGGTCCTGAGTATGACTTCACTACTAGCCCTACAAATAAAAACTTTGCATCACAAAAGAAACGTCTCAGAACTTGTTTGAAACAGCCACATTCTTCACTGGCTTTTTTTTTTTTTTTTTGTCAGTGTGCTGAATAATTAAAGCACAGACATCTCTTCCTGTCAAAGCCTTCCTCCAGAATTTCCACAGCCCTCTGCCACCCAGGCAGATTTTCCCTCAGGGGTTCCCCCCTCCCCATTCTGTAGGTTTTTCTTGTTTTCATTTTCAAACAGAAAAATGGCTCAGGGCTCAGGTCAGTGACCAACATCCCCAGGATTTGCAGCAGTGGCCAAAGGTGTCTTTCTTGCTGAAGGAAAAATGTGCTGAAGGACATGAGCGACTCTGCAAAGCAAAGCACCACTTCTGCTGAGTTTCTGCTGCAGCCTTTGCTGTGCTCTGCTCCAGAGATACTTCCTTCACTCCGCCAGCCTGAGTGGCTGTACTTGCCAAAAAAACACCAGGAAAAAAGCAGGTTGTGACGATAATCATTCATCTGATTTGTCTTGTTTCTTTGAGATGTCATTTCAAAGCTGTGCCCCGTTTTAAATCACACCTTAGCAAGCTCTCCCTGGCCAACTTCTAGATTCTCTTAAGCCTTTTGCTGAGGACATGCATCAGCACAGGTCACACGATGTGCTTGTTAAGGAACCTGCTACAGGAATACCTGAATGCACTCACATCTACACTCCTATCAGAAAAATAAAGAAGTCCCTTACCATTTGTGGCACAGAGTCCTCTTTCAGTTCAGAACAAGCACTCTGAATCCCCAAGATATGTTAGAAAAGGAAAAAAACAACCAAGACTTCTAAAACAAACTCATCCTGAGAGGCTGTTTTATTGTCTCTGGATACTGCCATAGGCAGCACTGTGGCACTCTTCCTCCCTCAGCTCTTCCGTGCTGTTCCAACAGTCCCACTGCTGCCATAAAAGAAGTGTTCCTCTGCTCCCCAGGAGCTACTCTCTATGATCTCTCCTGCTGACATTTTATTTCCAAATCTCACAAATTTGCTCTTCTACTGCCTTCAGTTCTCTTTCCTGTGGTAAACATTTCAATTTTACCTTGTGGAGGCAAAGTGCTTTAATGTGACTTCATGAGATCTGTGCTATGAATGCAGTAACAGTGAGCACTGCTGTAAGTACAGGCTGATCACAGATTAACGTACTTGGTATCAAAGCCATTACACAAAACACACGATCTCAACAAAGGTATTTTCATTCCCTACAGACTATTTTCATGAAAGATGTACAAAACTGTTGTTGGTAATATTTCTGTCACGGCTTCAGCAAAAAAATTTATAGTCTTTTCCATGTGCTTGTAATGATTAAAGTGAAAGTTACAGAGAACTGATTTATAAATTTTGGAATTTTGTTTTTTTCTTAAACAGCTCCTGTTAGAGAGCTGGCAGACAGCCCCCAAACCTTTGTTTTGTTCAATAGCTGCAGAGCAATTTATATGCATTACATGCTCACAGACTAATTCCTTCCCAGGAGAAAAGCAACCTGAACTTGAGACTCACATACTTGCAGGTACTTCTTGATCCAGGAAAAATAACTGTCATAATGATTAAACTACTTTGACTTGTTGAAAAACCCTTCAAGTCCAAATCTGGGGAACTCCATGTTGATGTTTAAATGCAGGTCTGGGGCTGAGATTAATACTCTCACAATCTTCTGGGGATTATTAGTATCATTTTTTTAACATTAAAAACAAACAACAACAAAACCAACAAATACACACAGAAGTTGTATTGCCGAAAGTGCCAGCAGATTTTATTGCTAGCCCCTGCATCATCCATATACCTGTTTACCTCAAAGCTTCATCAAATTGCCAGCTGGAGAGCAAAGTAAGCAGTTCTTGGTGATTTTGAGTATTTAGCTTATCAGTATTCTAAGGCCTGCTTCAGTCTTGTAATTTTCCATCTGGTTAGGGACCTTAAGGTTTACCTGGCTTGTACTGCACAAAAGACTGCAATTAAGGAAACAAAATTGATTGTGCAGAGCCTGCCAAAAGCCTACCAGCTAAAAAGCAACAATGTGATAATATCACTTGTTTATTCAAGAGAGATTACCTTTGCACGTGCTCAGAATCACTTCCACCAAGTTTGGTTTTAAATAACTACTAATGGTCTGTTCCTCACTGTGAGTCCCACAGAATCTGCACAGTGTCCTTTGGTATCAGTAGGAGAAAAAGCAGCAAAGACCCTCGAGCTATTATTTCTACTTCTCCCAGAGCATCCACAACTTAAAATTCCCAATGAAGAGTTTGGGACTTGCATAGCATCAAAAGCAGGGCACTCTCCTGCAGCACAAAGCTGGTGATCTCCATCAACTGTGTTTCACGACAAATGCAGCAGTTCACACTCAGCACTGATCTGAAGTAAGAAAATGCAAACTCACAGCATCCTCCGCACACCCTCACACATTATTTCTGAGAGGCACTGCAGCAACCAACTTGGTGTGAGCAGCAAAAAATCACAACCATCCCTCTCCCAAGCAGCATAAAGGAGAACGATGTTTATTTGATTCAAGTGGTGCTGCAGTCCCCGACCAGCACCCACAGCAGATGGAATGCTAACTACGCTCTGCTGCCAAAGACTTCACTCTCCCGTCACTCAGTCCTTGCCAGCACTGACTTACTTGTCTCCATTGTCGTCCTGGACAGCAGTGAGGTGGCGCTGAACAGCTAGCAGCATCCTCACATCTCCAGTTACAGCATAATCAAAGAGAGCGTTGCAATGACGCTTGGCGAGCTGCATAGCCTTCTCCAGGAACAGACCATCTGCAACACAATTTTTTGTCTTTATTAGCTCAATTGCCTTCCCTGTAGCAGCACCTTTTGGCCACAGAAATAAGAAGTGCAAATCACCACACATTCATTACTTAATGATTCACTGACACGGGTTGTTAATTACACCTGAGAGGAAAGGACAGAGGGAATGAGTCTTTTGGAAGGAAAACAAGGCACACGCTGAGCACTCGGGCAGCAGGAATCCTGAGAACAACCCATCTCTGGAAGCTACCTGTGGTTTGAGTGGCACTGATAATTCATTAATGTGCACTTGTGTGCAGTGAAACAAAAGAAGCAGAAACTTGAAACTGCTCAGATACAAGTGACAGGCAAAGCCTCCTGTCCACAGAACACTTAAAAGAACATCCCACATGGTTCTGACTGATTTAGACTGGAGCAAACTGAGGCACAAGAAGCCTAAGAGACCTAAGAAAAGTTGAGGGAACTGGGCTTGCTTAGCTTAGAGAAGGCTCCAGGGAGACCTCATCATGGCTTTCCAATACTTGAAGGGAGCATATGAACATGAGGGGGAATGGCTTTTTACAAGGGTGAATAGTGACAGGACAAGGGGGAATGGTCTTAAACTGAGACAGGGGAGGATTAGATATTAGGAGGAAGTTTTTCACACAGAGGGTGCTGACACACTGGAACAGGTTGCCCAAGGAGGCTGTGGATGCCCCATCCCTGGAGGCATTCAAGGCCAGGCTGGACGTGGCTCTGGGCAGCCTGGTCTGGTGGTTGGCGACCCTGCACATAGCAGGGGGTTGAAATGAGATGATCATTGTTGTTCTTTTCAATCCAGGCCATTCTATGATTCTATCAAATATTGTACAGAAACTCACACAGAAAATATGGCATAAATGCAGAGCTGTGTGTCCCTTCCCAGCCTGAACGAGGCACTCTCTTCAGCTTTACAGGGGTACTCGTAACCGAAGGAGGTCACTAGCTGCTCTGCCAACACTTTGTGGTTCTGTATCGGCAGAAACTAGCAAAAATGAAACAGATAAACTTGGAAACCACAGTCGTCATTCTGAGAAGCAGTATCACCTGAAACCAGCCTGTATTCTGTGCAAATTTAAGTTTCTATAAAAGGTTAGAAATCACTAATAGCAAACAGGTGAAATAGGTGATATAAGTTAAAGAATTTCTATATGCCAAAGGCTAACCCAGCTATCCATGAAGTTTATAGTCTCTAGATCACTGTGGTTCCCAGACTACATGCATAGGTTGATGCATTTTTACTTGTTATTTACTTCTTAACACTAAATAATAGGATTTAATAGATGCTGTATTCAGGATATACATCCAACATAAAAAGGGTTAAGCCATTCTGTCTTTACTCATACAACATAAAAATCCAAAAAATTTGGAACACTGGACCTCTCTGGGTATTTTTTTTTCTCTGTGCTTGAAACATGTCTCTCTACTCCAAATGTTGATTTTTTAATCTGATGAGATTAAATGATGATGGTTACTCAAATCCTTTAAAAGAGTAGTTATTCACATTAAAAAAAAAAACCCCACAACTACAGCACTTCCCCAGGCAAAGAAAATCTTGCTGCTTGAGAGAGGGCAATTTGTTTTGTGTACTTTATAACTGTACTGCTGAATCACACCTACTGACTACTGTCTTCCTCCCCTTTTGTTCACTGGTTGGTTGCACAAAAGGTTTTGCTACCCAAAAAATGTCATTTTCCTGTGTATTTGCTGCATGGAAACAGAAAGGGTTTACATTTTATATTCAAACCTTTAAGGCTACTTTGCATGCAATTTTACAGCAGAACTGTAGGGAAGGACTGCACAACAATCACACAGACCTTCTTTATCCATTAAAGCCTACCAAAAAATCAAAAGGTACTGAACTGTATACATGAATTGTATTCTGTGTATGGTCACTGCTTTCAGTGAACCTCATACAGGTTTATTATGAAGCAGCATTAAATGGGCCCAGCAGGCTCAGCCATCTCACCTCCTTGCAGAACCAGTTGCCCAGTGGCAGTATGAAGGTGTAGGATTATCCATCTACTAACCTATGTATGGGGAAGGATCTAAGATTCTAGAGAGCTGAACTTCTCTTGCTTCCTCAAAGAAAAATTATCATGTTTTCAAAACCGTAAGCGGACA